ATCTCGAGTGGGATGCCTTCCCCTGGCATCACTTCCGCGGCTATACCAAGTCTCAACGCGCCGGCAAGCTCAAATCGTGGATCTGGAGCTTTGGGTTCGACATTGAACATCAAGCTAACGTAGATAATCGCCTCTGGGTCTGTGAGCGGTGTTTACCGAAGAAATCGCCGAAGGGACCCGTGAGCTTCGCGGCAAGGGGACCCTAAACATTGAGCGCCATCTACATGATGCTCACAATGTTATTGACCCATCAGGTAGACGGTTACCGAAGGGTTCTACAACCAACAAGCGTTCTATTGCCCAATTCTTCAACCTCGATGCCAATGACCAGAAGGAGCAAGCATTCATTAACAAGCTAAAAAACCAATTCGATAAAGATGTCTTCCAATCTCTCTTGCTTGCTTGGATCACCGAGTCGAATGTTGCCTTCCGCGCAGTTGAAGCCCCTCGATTCCGGCGTCTTCTCGAATACCTCAATCCCTCGATCGCCCTGACTCAAGCCCACATGACACACTCGACTATTCGAACGAAGCTTTTCCAAGAATACCACCAGTACAAGCATATTGTGATAAAGGAACTGAGGAGCGCCCGGGCAGATACACCTTGCGTTTGACGGCTGGAGATCGCCCAATCGCTATGCGCTTAATGGGATTGCTGCGTTCTATCTCTCTAGGAAAAGCGGCCACAGAAGATCATCCTGGGCTCCCTGAACTCCGAGAGTCTCATACTGGCGAGAATATAGCGTCGCAGGTGGCGGAAGTGATCGAATCATTCGAGATTCAAGACAAGATCGGGTATTTCACGCTTGACAATGCGAAGAATAACGATACGGCGGTAGCAGCACTGGGACACGTTTTTAATTTTGAAGGGAAGCAGAGACGGGTCCGCTGCTTTGGGCATATCATCAATCTCGTGGCCAAAGCGCTGCTCTTTGGCAAAGATAATGAAGTCTTCAAATCAGAAGAGCGACTCGACCTGGACCTTGCTCGACATGATCTCTGGCGGAAGAGGGGGCCTATTGGCAAGCTCCACAACCTTGTCCACTGGATTCATCAATCGGATAGGTTAACGTACATGCTTCGGGATCTACAACGCAAGAGGACAGTACGAAGAAACCAGTTGACGTTGTAACGGATAACATGACACGATGGTTGTCCCATTATAAGATGATGGATCGAGCCCTTCTACTGCACGACTTTCTTGACGACCTCGTCGCATTGGAACAGTTCGAATATACCCGAAGCAGGTCAAAGAAGAAAGACATGCCTGCATGCCTCCGAGATTCTGACCTGCTGACCGGTAACGACTGGACAGTGATCAGCCACTTTCGGAATATTCTTAAGCACTTCGAAAATGCCATCAAGGCCCTCGAGGAGATGCCCAGATTCGGGTGCGTAAGGGCGGCAACCTCGTGGCATACGGAACAGCATGGGATATTATCCAAGCATTCGAATATCTCCTTGAACGATTGGAAGAGGCAAAGGAATTCGCCAAGGATGTGCCTGATTCCGAGCATTTCGCGATAAACGTCGAATTGGGGTGGAAGAAGTTGGAGAAATACTATATCAAGTTGGTTGAGTGCCCGGTATATTATGCTGCAGTCGCTCTCCATCCCGCCTTGCGACTGCAATGGTTTGAGGAGGCTTGGGCTCATCGACCTGAATGGGTCCTTGAGGCACGACGGATTGTTCGGGGCATCTGGGAACGCGACTATAAGTCATTAATTCTCAGCGATGACGAGGCTATTCCGATGGTTAAACGTCGAAAGGTTGACGACTTGAACGAGTTCCAACAGTTCCGACTGAGGCACCGGCTACAAGCTGGTCAGACGGCCACAACCCGTCGTGGGCCACCTACTGCCGATGAATTCGATCGCTGGACTGTTGATATCGGCGCAGATGACGGAGACATCACGGATCCGTTCCAATACTGGCAACTCAAAGAGTCAACGTATCCCAGACTTGCTCGAATGGCCTTTGATATGCTATCTATACCGCCAATGTCAGCAGAGTGCGAGAGGGCGTTCTCATTTGCTGGGCTAATGGTCACACGACTACGCAGCCGGCTTCAGGCTAACACGATCAATGCAGGCCAGGCAATTCGGTCTTGGCTGAAGGCAGGGCTAATACCCGACTACCAGGGGATTATTGATGCTTCAGTCGATGACGATGTCTTCCCCGAAGAGGTGCCCCACGAAGGACGAGAAGTTGATGGTGTTGAGGACCTTAAGTAGCTTACTAATAGGTAGGGTAGGGCATCAACTCCGTCAATCAACGCAATCAATTCAACGAGGGCTTGGATTGCTCAACTCAACGAGAGGTTCGCTGATGTAAGCCGTCAATCTACTCAATTTGACTCTTTGGTTGAGTTGATTGAGTGGTTTGCCACCCTGGTCGGCGGTGATGGCCTCTATAAAAGTGGTCCAGCTGCGGGACTGTGGTCCCTTGAGAAGAGTCTTCCGTTTAGGGTCCGAACTTCCAACCACCAGACTGTCCAGACCTAGCAAAGAAATTGTATTAGCTTATATCGCCTATGGAGAGTTGATTGCAAACCAAAACCCGACATAATCCCCCCTTCATCAACATTCACCGTGTTCTCGGCTTGATCCACCCGTACTCCTTCTCCTGACGTCAAAGTACCAGTGCACTGCTTTGGGAGTAAATGAGTCGAATCTGTTGGCTTCCTGACGCCTACCGACCTTGCTTCTAAGTTCCGGATGGCGTTGAATGAACTTTCTACCCAATGACGTCCCAATCTTGAGTCGCAGCCTTGCTGTTTCAGAACGGCAACAACGCAGGCGCGGATTTGACTCTGGGACGGAGTGTAACCCAGAGATTCTTGGCGAAGAGTCCATGCAACCAAGTTGGCCTCCTGGTCTCTGGATAGGAGTTTTCCAGGTTGTTCCTGGTCGGTTAATGCCGACTGACCTCGCATTCTGCTGGAAATAGTACTCTGGGGTATCCCCCCATTTCTGAGAAGCCTGGCGCTGCGACAGACCGTTATCAGTGACATCGAGGATTGCCTCAGCCATCACGTTCTCTGTATAGATGGAACGAGGCCTTTTTTGGAGCCATTTGTGACAGGTGGTGGAGGATGAGCAAGAGTGGAAAGCAAAGGAGGCAGGAGGAGATTAGGGGACGAAATTGCCATTTTGCGATGCCGGGGTGTCACGGGCCACGACACCTATGGTCTTCAGCTGACTTCATAAAATGTAATTTCAGTCATTTCTATACCCGTTACAGGTGACTGTTTGTCAAAAGCTTTAAAATTGAGTAGATTCTGTATAAGTGAAGTTGGTACAATTTGTATGGAGTGGCAACATTTTTGCGGAGCATAAGGGGGGGGTGAGCAGAAGGGGGGGTAAGCATGGTATGACGTCAAAAGGTATCCCCCAGGGGGATGGTATGTGTTAAGGAAAATTTATACTAGCACAACCATTTATGTCCGTCACAGGCAAGAGGACATTCGCCACACATTACACTCCCTTGTTGAAGCGCCGTAAAGTGGACCGGGTCCAGCTGGGCGTTACCTCCCACACCACCTGTAACCCTCTGACATCCAGCTTGTTGACATCGCACGACTTGTGCGGTAAACCAATCGCCTGGAAAGCAAAAGAAGACGAAGTATGGTGACGCTTGTGCAGTTGCGAGTAGGACAAACACATAACCGAGTTTGAGCATATTGTGGTTGAATAAGGTTATACACAGCAGCAGAATTTTAGGAAATATAATAAACGGGAGCTTAAAGCCAAGGCTTCAAAGTATAAGGCAGGATTTTTGCTGTAATTGTTGTATTGCTTGAATTTGTTGGAAGTGATGATTCTAAAAGCTGGACGATAGAGGGGAGCGGACTCCTCCTTATATAAACAATTTCGGAATAACCAAGTGACATATACAGTTGTACCTCGTACCATATTGAACCGTGTTGAATGGAAAATACCGAGGTGAAATTCCTGACCTTGTAAGTCATCCCGTTCCGAAGATATTTGATTTCAAAGGTGGTTGGCTGTGTTTGAGGTTGTCGGTCTTCCATTTTGTGTTACTCGTGCCTGCCCCACTTTTCTGGATTCCGGTACGGCAGCCTATAGGGGTCACTGTTGCAAAACCCCTAAAACCGCTTCCGACTAGACGAAACAGGTTAGTGCGGTATGCAGGTTGCCCCTCAGTACATTGCGCCATGTACCTCAGTGTATGGGGCCGCAGAGGACCAGTAAAACGCACTTCTACAGACAGCAGTCGCCTGCCAGCCGCACCACCAATGTTATACGGCGAGTCGGCACTGTACATACCACTGGCAAACGCATTGATACGCACAACGTAATAGTCGGACACTAGACTTGACAAAATTACTGGGGGTTTTCCTGGCCGCATTCCAGCGGGCGAGGCCATTATTTCACTAAAATATTCTTGTTTATGAAATCTGGACGGTACCAAGACGAGTGGAGTGGAGTCGTCTAGCCTCCTACCCTGGATGAAGGGCCGGAAACTGTTGTCGGAATTCACATACATACTACCAGTCGCCTCCACCTTTGGTGGCTGGTGCGACAGAAACATGTAACTTGTCAAGATCAGATGCTCATTCACGGTGCTGCCTACTGCCTAATAGGCAGTCACGACTAGTCAAGCTGCTGCCTGCAGGCAGCAGCTGCCCTCAGTCTCCCTATTCATGTATATAAGAGAGATAGATTTCCTTCATTAGATATAAATCAAGAGTCTTTCGTTGCCCGATTCACAGGGGATCTTCTTCCCGATTGCCGCTCAGTCGTCCATACTGCCCGTGCATCTTGTTGTGTGACATAACTGCCTACACTTTACAGGCAGAGAATTTAGATCAGCGATTCCAACTCCCTCGGCCTCGACTATTCCCACAGACAGAAACCGGTTGCCGGTATCGTCCACAAGGCACTTGACTACTCCGGTTCCTCATTTGAACTGTTGCTTTCCTCCTCGTCACCGCTTATTCCTTCAATGTCGGTTCCTTCCTCGTCTTCAAAGCCTAGTTCAACCAATGGTTGCTCTGCTGATTGCCCATCTCAAGCTCTTCTTCTCGGGCTCGATTTGCCCGCTCAAGTAATGCTTGCTATGTACGTTTAGGTCAGTGTACTCACAAACAGATATTGCGCTTACATATTCAGCAACGCCCCCAGTTGGCGCTTTGCGGTAGGTACGCCAGTATAGGCTGCCGGCCACTTTCGATGTGCTGAATGATCTTATCCCGGAGACCAAGATAGAAACGCTTAAAGGGTCGCAATTTATCCGGGTCCTGGCGACTTCCAAGAACGACCTGATCGTAGCCCATTTTAAGGAGCGTCTTGTGGCACCAATCCTTTGTCTCGGGCTCCAAGCACGTGCTAATGTCAATGTCCACCAACGGTCGCCCCATTTCGTGTAGAACTGAGCGATCAATGGGGATGCCCCAATTGCATGCCTTATCCGGGTCGGGGTAATGGTAATTCATCCAGGGCTGGCCGTGGACCACATGGGGACGGTTCTTTTGAAGGCGTATTCGATGAAGATTCCATGCCTCCACAAAGTCGAAGAGCTCTTGACGTAATATATCTTCGAAGACGGCGTAGATGGCAATCTGATCCTCCAGCATGTCGCCGTCGAAGTCCCCGTCCCTTGCGAGCTCCCCAAAATAGTCTACCCACTGCCGAGAGGAGACATGGAGCATACGCTCCCACCAACTCTCAATCTTGACGTTCTTCGTACTCGGGGCTGCCTTATACGAATCCTTCAATCTCCTACCTTGCTGGAAGACTTGCTCATGCCATTCCACACGTCCGTCTGTGGTCAAAACAAAGTTCCAATGGGCTGCTGCAACCAACGGCGTTTCGCTCCCCCTGTCCGCTTGCAAGTACCATGGCCGGAAGCCATAGGCGTCACATGCCGCCAGGTACTGCTTCAGTACGCTCAAGGCAGTTGTGGCAGAGTGCCCAAGGTAGAACCAGATAATGTTGCGCGAGTAGGCGTCGATGGCCGCGTATATCTCGAATCCGTACACCCTGAGCTTCTCGTGGCCATCAATGCACCACTGGTAGTTCGGGCCTGGGACAAGAAACTGTCCTTTCTTTCTCCGAAACATCCTCTTTCTGAGCTCGACCTCATTCAGGAACATGATCTTGTACATCTCGAAGAGGATCTCTTGGTACCCAGAGCTGCTTTTGCTGACGGAGATAAGGTTGCAGAAGGTTTCTGCCGTATCCCGAAATGGCATTAGAGCGTCGCGTTATGTCGATGATGGCTTGTTCGGTTTTTCCAACAATGCCAGGCGCTCCTCATCGCTATTGAGTCTGCGCACCCAACGGCGGTCCGGGTGAAGCCTGATGCGTTTCAGGCCTCGCTTCGTGATCTGCCAGCCCCGTCTCTGTAGAACACTTAGGGTTTGCTTTTCGTTAAGACCAACGCGAAAGATCAGATCACGGGTGGCCTCTATCAATTCCGGAGTTTCTCTGGTACGGTACGGGATTGCTGGCGCGGGAGACCCCACCTGGCGATTCGGCGGGATATTGTACTCGGATCGACGTCGACGTGGTAACGCTTCCGAAGTTTATACTTAATTCTGCTTCGCGAAACACCGTTAAGGTAGAGGAAACTGACATAGTCACGATATTGATCGATCGGGTTAGGTGGCCTTGCCATTGCGTTTGGTGGAAGTTGAAAGTGGAGAAAATTTTCGTAGAAAGCGGCCAAGTACTGGTGGGGGGGGTCTACACTTGGCCCGCACCGGCCTAGCGTCAGGGGCTGCTGCCACCGAACCAGGGATAGGATCAATACTGCTCGTTCGGGAAGGTATTACTCCTGAGAGTGCCGCCAGTGAATTAGGATAGGTACTAGTTAAAAGGCCACCCCGTCACGCTAAACGGCCACCCAAAAGTGGGTCAATTGTGGCTTGGTCGCGCGCAAGGTCCGATACCGCAAAGTTTGGGCTCCAGAAGATAGGGGGCGAATACCGCGCTGTGGCAAGGAATGCCGCTTCAAGCGACCAAGAAAAGCCGCCGCCCGGCCGCTGTGATCTTCTTCATCACTGCGGCTTCAAGTCAAGTCTTGGTTGGCCTTCCTTGCCGTCACGATATTTTCAAGCGGCCCAATGCCGCCGCCGCCGTTCCTTCGAAATGAATGACGTTGACGAGCTCTGGCATGGCAGAGCACAAGCCTAACGATGCTCCTCACGATCCACTCCTATGCACGGAAAGGCCGGCCCAAGGGCTCATTGAACCTCGAGGCAGCAGGAGGTCGTAACGGCCACGCGGAGAGCCGTCAGCACACGATATCGCGGAATCCGACGAACGCAGCGAGGCCACAAGGCCGCCGCCGTCCACAGCGCCGGCGGCTCTCCAAAGTACGAAGACGAAGGCTACGGGTAAGCGCAAGGCTGGGGCAAGGCTGGAGGAAAGCTGCTGCTGCTACCGTCAACACCGCCGGCAGCGCTGCTGATGTGACCAAACGGGGTTGGAATACCTTCAAGCCAATGGCGATTCGTACGAGCCTGGCACAGCGATGCCACGAGCGTATCAGCGTGCCGTACGCCGCACGCCTGACTCTGACGATGAGCTTACTGGCCCGGGCGAGACGCAGGGCACGATTCGCTGTGCCACGCAGCCAATGCCGATACCCTCAAGGAGGTGAGGATATAGAGGATGAAGACGACCCTTTAGCCGATTTTAACGAGATGGACCGGCAGGTGGATGAGGAGGAGTCTGTACAGCAGGAATTGTGTGCAGAGGGTCTACTATAGCTACCGGCGTTAACGCTGCATTTGAATTGACGGAAGTGTGTTTTCTACGACCCCAAGAACATGGCCCTACGTACTTGAATTTGCATCACGGCCAGCTTCACTTTGCGGCTTCAATTGCGGCTTCAACATGCCCTCTGGCGCGCACCTCGATGCCGGCAGCGAATGCGCGCACACACCTTTGCGGCATCGGCGCTGCGCGGCGACCAAGCCACAGTTGACCCACTTTTGGGTGGCCGTTTAGCGTGACGGGGTGGCCTTTTAACTAGTACGTTAGGATAATTTTCCTTTCGTAGTACAACAATATTGACAGAGACTGTTCTTTCAATTTTAGTTCTTTATTTCCTCCCACCCGATCCCGTCCCCGCGTCACACGAGGCATTAAAGGCCCTGGGAATGAATGTGCCCAAGTTAAATTTCGTCAAAAGTGTATACCTGTTTCGCTTACGCGCAAGGAACAGTACTGGCGCTGCGTGTTGGGACTGCGCAAAGGGTGAAGGATTTTCTGCCTGCTAAGAGTGACGAGCCATTGGTCAATTTGAATCTGTAGGTCTCTCTATTGATGCTGTACGTGTCTTTAGGGGCTGAATCGGCACCTTACCTGGCGTACTGCTGCGCATCACAACAACTACGAGCTTGCTGCCGCTCCAGGACCAGCTCCCGTGTCGAATGGATCATCCAGCCAAAAGTGAGATGCACATCCCAACAGCACTTCTGCTAGAATAACTGATATGGCCTGTCGCTGATTGCAACATCCCGCTTGGCCTCTTTCGACGAGACAGCTGAGAAGAGCCCTGGGAAGCGAAAGACCATGGCGCTGGACCATCGCCGCCTCCGGAGGTAGTGAACGGACTCAAGGAGCGTCAACGTGCGGGCCCGCTGCTAGTCCGCGGTACATTTTCCACACCAACCCGAGGTACTCATATGACCGGGGCCAGGGGAGCCTAGACCCAAAAGGGAGTTTTGCAACAGTGTCCCCTATCGTCCTCCGTACACTATGGTGGATTTTTAGTAGAAAGTGGTGGATCGATAATCCTCGGCGCCTTGGCGCCCCATTAGACGACCAAACTGCCAATGATGAATGTGGCCAGAAATTGCCCCACCGCCACTCTGCATTTTGCTGTTCAAGCCGATGGAGTATTGTCACGATGGCTAGAGTCTTGTAATAAGAACCAAGAACACCTCATCCGGGGGTACCCCTACTTTGCGTGGCGGAGCGGGCGGTGCATACTGTGACAAGCATCACGGTGCTAAACCAGCCATCGGAAGTAGAGGCACCTCCGTAGAGATGACTGTTTATCGTGGCCTATGTTGCCTGTCCCTCAACACCTCCCATCAGGAGTAGGAGGGCTGAGCTCGTGGCCTCTCCCTCAACACACGGCGCTATTCTCAACGAGACATGTCCGCATTCGATACATGTGTGGAAGTCAGCCGAGCCTGGATGAACGTGGACATGTGACAAAGTGGGTTGACTCATCCACTTCTTTTGAAACCCTCAAATGTTTCATCTCCAGCTAGGATCCTATCTTGGATGGACATGTATACCATGCCCCACCCCCCTTTCGGTAACACCCACCTTTCGGTAGCGCATTAGAAAATATCCCCACCAAAAACCATCAATTTCACTTACACCGATTCCAGCCAGCTTTGAAGATATTCACAAGCCGTCACTTGGAGTAGATAGAGGATTGATTGAATTCTACTTTTCGATGGTTGAATGTTTGTACAGGGGTCTGTGGCCTGTGCGTGCCTTGCACGCGAAATTACCATCCAACCCCCTAATCTCCTTCCGCCTCCTGACGATGATTCTTCTCGTTATTCCTCCACCACATGACCAAAATGACCTTAAAGCGGCCTCGGGTATTTATACGGAGGATATTATGGCTAATGCGATAATTGATGTCACAAAAAACGGCTTGTCGCAGTACCGCGCCGCCCAAAAGTATGACATACCTCAGCAGTCTATTTCCGACAGACTCAAAGGCCAGGTAGCCCTGGCTGATCAGATCCAGCCTCGTCAACTCTTGAGTAAGTCTCAGGAAGCTCGCTTGGTTTCTTGGATCCTCCGCCAAGAGTCTCTCGGCTATGCTCCTCCCACAGTCAGATCCGCGCATGTGTGGAGGCTCTTGTAAACAACTGAACAACGAGCGGACAGTGGGGCGCAACTGGGTCTCTAAATTCATCAATCGCCATCCGGACATCAAGAACAAGCGTGGGAGACGTCAGGAAGCAAACCGATTTAATGCTTTTACGCCTCGGGCGGTTCACTGGTTCTTCGATATCAGGGGAAAGGAGTATGGATGGATTAAACCAGAAAATACCGTGAATGTTGACGAAGGCGGTATTATGTCTGGCTTTGGTGAGTATTTGGCTTGTCTTTCATTACTTTTACTAACCAGACTCTTTTTGCCAGGTTTGGATAGTCTTGTGGTTGGGAGTGCAGACCCAAAACGGAAGGCCCTTCTGAAAGGGCCACAGTCCCGCAACTGGACCTCATTTATTGAAGCTATCACCGCGAACGGCCATGTCCTTACCCTGGCATTATCTTTAAGGGCAAAGAGCTTCAGAAACAGTGGTTCTTGACGGAATTCGGCAAAATAGCCGACTGGCATTACATAACGTCGCCCAACGGATGGACGGACAACCATGTCGCTATTGAGTGGCTTGAGAGGGTCTATTTGCCCCAGACGCGACCAGCCGATGCCTCAGATGCTAGACTGATCATATTAGATGGACATGGAAGTCATGCAACGGTGCGTTTCTTTATCCACCTCTGTAGGAATTACTGTTAACCGGGACCAGGATGCATGGATGGCCACATGCTTTTGAACAACGTTTATTGCTGTTACCTTCCTGCCCACTGCTCTCATGGCCTCCAGCCGTTAGATAACGGTGTATTCAATGCCCCCAAGGCAGCTTACCGGAAAGAACTTCAGAAATTGACCTGTTTGACCGATTCTGCGCCTGTTCATAAGGTCAATTTTATACGGGCATATGCTAAAGCGCGCGAGGTTGGAATGACGGCAAAGAATATATTGTCCGGCTGGAGGGTCACTGGGAATTGGCCGATCTCACGATCCAAGGCATTGCGGCATCCAGAAATTCACGCAGACATTGTAGAGACGTCTCCAAAGTCCGCGCCATTTTGGGTTCTGATGATACACCAAGAAACAGCCGCCAGATTCGCGATTTCGGAAAGAACAAGACTCCTGGGACCCGGAGACGATACGCCGTGATAGCTAGAGGCTTTGAAGCCCAAGAACAGACGCTTGCCGAGCACAGCAACAGAATCGCGAAGCTAGAGGAAGAAGTGGCCCGGCTGCAGAGAGGCAAGAAGAGGAGAGCAATTCCGAACCCGAACAGACGGTTCATGACTCTCAGTGAAGCTTTGGTGGCTGAGGAAGCCATTCCCCAAATTAAAAGCCAAGAGATAGCCGTTGTGCTGAATTCTGACACAGAGGAGGAGGCGGTCTCAGAGGTGGAGACAGCTTCAGTGATCGAAGTCAAGGTGGCACCCGAAGCCCTTCCAGTCACCACCAGATCCGGGCGAATGGTAAAAAAGCGCCGGTACATATAAGAGCGTCCATTTCTCTACGGAATGATATTTTTTTGTGTTTATAATGTTAAGTTCTGATCATATTTCATGTAGTTCAAATGGTAGACTTTTGGTGGAGAATTTCTCAATTGCGCTACCGAAAGGTGGGTGTTACCGAAAGGGGGGTGGGGCATGGTACCAACTACCCGGCCGGGCTGGGCGGTAATCTCTTAGAAGCTCGCATTGATCTGCATTGCGGGAAGGAGGAGAACCTCTCTGCAATGCTTAAATCCCACAGTTCGCCACGCTTTCGTGTTTCACCTCCATCGCAACTTTGGAACAAAGTGGAAAGGCGCTCCGGCGGAGGCGTTGTTCATGCGAGCCCCTTGCGGCCTTGCCATTTCCATGTACTTGGCCCGACACGATCGGGTTTGAGAAAAGGGGGCTAGGTTGTACGGGTGCCTGCAGCTGTCAGAACGAGGCCACCTAAAGTGGACACAACACTAAAGGGACAGGCAGCAGCATTACAGGTGACCCCTGGTAGGCAGCAGCATTACAGGTGAACCCTAGGGGTTCATAGCGCCGACAGTACCCTCTGTTATATGTGCCCAGAGGACCTACGCCTCTGGACCTTGGGGGGGGGGGGGGGGGGATACACGGTTTTTTTGGGGTCATCATTGTGATCACTATTGTGATCACTATTGTGACTATCGTGATTATCGCTCGACAGCCCCATTACGGTCCTCTGACCGTTCTGACAGCAGCCCACGACACCATTGATCCCCGGATTATCTCTTAAGGTCCACGGATCTGCTGTAGATCATATACAGTGTAGAACTATTGTCAGCTGGATAGGTATCTATTGCGAATGATAATGGATTATGCGCTGGAATACATTTCGACCTCGACAACGAGCAGCCCGTATCCAGGGTGCTGGATAAAGCCTTGACAGACGTTACCGAGAGCAACGCTAAAGAAAGTAGTATCCCACTCGTATCTACAACAAATGCTGCGTCTCGTTGCAAACCGTACAGTACGACTAGGCTCTAGCAGACCATTGTGATCCGTTGTACTCATAGTTGACAAACCCGCCAATCCCTACACGCCTGATAGGGGTTGCAGAGCATCTCAAACATCTCGTCGTAACCGATGAGGAGATTCATTTCCCTCAGCATATCCTGCCCTTCGAAGGCTTCGGTCTCGTCATTCCATTGCAGCGTTATGGAAAGTGGCTGCCGCCGTTAATCTCGACTTCAAGAAAAGAACGTCCGTCATCAGCGCAAAATGTACTCCTTCCAGCGTGGTATCGGCCCCGATTGTTTCAGACCTCCAGAGCCCTCCGGCCCCTCCACCATGCTCTCTTGGGCCTTTCAACGTATACTCATGGCGGGCACTCCCTTGGTTATTTCCGAGCCAGACCCATGAGAGCTTGACTTTGTTCACTGTTTTCGCGGCTCCGCTCGCCCCCTCTGGGCAGGTTTTCCGATGCCTTCCACCGCTTCGGCGACGCTCGCGTGGTTCGTCATCCAGCGCCTGCTCTGCGGGCCCATGAGGTGGCTGGTCTCGCTGCTGCTGCGGGTCCTGTTTGGCGTGCCGTTTGCGATCCTTGGTGCTGTGGCACTCCTGACAGACGGGTTTGGTATTGGCAAGTTGAGCTGCTAAGGCGCCGAGACGGGAGCTGATGTCGGCCAGCTGATTTCGAATTTCGTAGTGCTCGTTGTAGCAAAAGTCTCTGATCTTGCGGTCCGTCACAGCAAAGAGGCTGCCACATGTACAAGTAGTGCTCGCAGCGGCAGTTCCATTACAGCCGACATGATCGGTTCCACTGTCTGCTGGCATGTCGCAGGATTTAAGTGCCTCATTCACATAGGTAAGTTCTTCCAATTCGATGTGACCTTCGAAAACGGGATCACAACTGGAGTCGTCGACATTGTATTCGCGAATATATTTCGGCCCGGATTGACCCTCTCCGCCCCAGGCTGACCAGCCGGAGAGTTTGTCGCTGTTTGCTTCTTTACTTGCCATGGCGCTGTGGACGGGGAGAGTGTGGAGAAGGATGGAAATACGTGACGAGGATAGTGTAGAGGTGGGATGAGGAGACGAAGACACATGGAGTCGGGATGTATGGTCTTTATAGGCAAACCCTCGCCTAAGGACATCTCGTGATCTTCTCCTACACGGATGTCGTTCCTGTGATGTCGGCGCAATGGAACGGCGCCATGTATTTGGTTAAGGGGCACCTCCGCCTATATTCGTTCTCCTGCGGGTATGCGAGTCGCTGTGGGCAGCCCCGGAAACGGTGTGATACGAGACGCAAATCCAGAAGCCCAAGCCATTCTCCGTCCGGCGTATCTGGCTACCATCTAGAGGCTAGCTCTAGACCGCGCCGTCACGTCGCAATTCATCACCGCGCAGACCTTTGAGCTGGCAGCCCTCCACCCGCTGCACTGACCGCTGTCCACGACTGGCTCGCCGCCATACCGCCGTAGGCTCCGCCTAGCAAGCCTCCGGGCCGAGAGATGTACGATGAGGTGACAATGTGCTCAAATCAGAAGCGTCTGCGGCTTTGTGAAGCGGTATCAATCTGACTGATGATGGATCAGTGGATGACGTCGTTTCCCAGACGTGGCGGCCGGTCCGGCTCAATGTCCGGTGGCGCCCACCTTATGGTCCAATGGCCTGCGTGCTCCTCTGCACCCATGCCAGTATCGAGAGATACTTGCCCCGTTAGGGCCAACAGGCGTAATGAAGAGGCGATCATTCAGTGCGAGATGGCACGTATAATTGAACTTGTAAAGGCAAATATTGCTCCCGCTGATCGGTTGGAAAGCTCTATAGCCCCGCCAGGCAGTCATTGTAACGCCTCCCATGTCTCCGCTTGTAGTGGAAACGCAGCTGGGCTCGCGCGAGGTGTCATCGTCGTTCGCCGGTGAATACAACTGCCTGACGCTTGCTGGTTTGTGCGAGGCTGTCGTCCTGCGAGCTTGCTTAGATGGGGCCGTGCCCTCGGGTTGTCAGCCTGAGTATCGACACCGCTTTCGAAGTCGTCGTTATTGTCGTTGTCATTGCCTCATTTTCTGGGAAGCGATGCTTCTGGCAGGGTCGGCCAGGCAGGGGTACTCTGCTCGCAGGGGCTTGGCTGGCCGCGGCTGTGATTGTGCCGCCGGTATGAGCCTTTGAACATGTGCCTTTGGACATCTAGTAGCGGCTCTATCCTATGGCAGAATAATGGTGAACTCGAGTGAGTGGTTGGCGGATGATTGGTACTGTAGGACAAAATTACCAGCTGTCGCAAAAGAGAAGTTCGGGGGAGAAGGCTGGTACAGAAGACGCGGGGTGTCGCTCCTAGACCCTTCCACTCATCATGGGTGCCTGGATTCCCGTTACCGTACCTGCGGCCGATTCTGGCTTCACAACAGTCCTGCAAGTCCTCGTCTTGGGCGATTGACAGCATCCTAGCTTCTGGCTGCTTGGTAGTACTGAGCTGTAAGGACTGCAACCCCTTCTTGGTAAGCAAAATCGTCTTCACTGCAGCCAGAAAGTGAGCTGGCGCCGAGCACCAGGCAGCAGTGGAAGGGTCTAGGAGCGACACCCCGAGTTTCCTCGCCCAACCCGTTCCCCGCCACTCGTCTCTGCAACAGTTGGTAATCCGAGAATCAGCGACCAGGCGCTGAATCAGCCACCAAAACCCCGCTGTGGATATCCTATTGATGTTCTCGACTGTCTGAAGGAGCGGGTGGGGGAGCACCGTGGCAACCAGGTCGTTCGTATTGTTCAGAAACACGACAATGTGTCCCTTCACGTGATTCCGGTAACCAACACCGGACGGCGTCTTGTTATCAACTGTAAACTTTGTAATATAGCCGAAGGGGGCTTGGAGAGCAATCAGTCTCTCCTCAAGAGGAGAGACTTCGCGATGATCCGAAAATTCTGTCAGCACCGCGCAGGTTCAAATTCACGTTAAAGGATAACTGCGATTTCAACTACGAATTGATCGTCGATGTAATGCATCTTGACAGCCGGCCAGTCCTTCATGCCGTTGACCTAGCAACCTCTTTCCAAGCCGGACGATTTCTTCAGAATATATCGGCTAAAGAGACGTGGGAAGCACTCAAATTGTGTTGGATTGACACATACCTAGGCCCTCCAGATGTTATCACGCACGACGCTGGTACGAATTTTGCCTCCTCTGAGTTCCAAGCAGAAGCGAAGCTGCTAGAATAACCTGTCACCAAGTGCCCGTCGAAGCCCACTGGTCAATTGGCAAGGTGGAGAGATATCACGCCCCGATTCGAAGGGCATACGAGATCTTGAAAGCCGAGCTAAAAACAGCATCAGCTGAGTCGTTGCTTCAAATGGCCTTCAAATCCGTCAATGATACCGCCGGACCTGACGGTCTAGTGCCCACACTACTAGTCTTTGGTGCCTACCTCGGATAACGATGGATTCGCCGCCTTCTGCTTCCGCGATCACACGTGCGAAAGCCGTAACGAAAGCTATGGCAGAGCTACGCAAGCTTGTAGCTAAAAGGAAGGTCAATGACGCCCTCAATGCCCGTAATGGGCCCAACACGATTGAGAAGATGCCACTATCATTGCCGCTTGGTAGTGAAGTTCGAGTATTTCGTGAGAAAGGAGGATGGAAAGGCCCATACAAGGTCCTAGCTGTGACAGACACAGAGGTCACAGTTGAGCTAGACAACGGGCCAGCTAAATTTCGCAGCACGGCTGTCCAGCCCTACTTTCGCCACCCGGATTCGCAGCAGCAACGAAGTCACGATGTTCTACAGCAGCCACACGCTGACAATCAGACTGCTGACAATCAGGCTGATAGCATCAACGTTGAGACCGAAGTGCCTAAGCCATTCGAATATCCCGAGCCGGAGAGACCACGCAGACGCGGCAGACCAAGAAAAGTCCCTCGAGATCAGCAGCAATACGATACCTTCGTTCCTTCTAGTTATTTCCTTAGTCTTAGCCCTTTTTCGTTACCTCGATCTCAATTTTCACCCGCTAATATGTTTCTATCGCATAAGGAGTGCGCCGCCCTCGACCTTGCCGTAAAGTTACGTGCAGAGAAGAAAATCACTACCGCCGGACGACCGTTTGAAGCCTCTGATGACCTCGAAATCACGAACCTGCTAGGCGCAGGCGTCATCGTGCCCGAACGATACGATATGAATAAGCATGGAAAACACAGGCTATTCAAGTCACGAATGGTCCGGGAGGTCAAAGGCAAGAACACTGCTACACCGTACGAGAAGTCTCGTCTTGTGGTACAAGGATATGGTGACGACGAGAAGCGTGAGATCCTCACGCAGGCTCCAACAATCTCCCGTCCTGCCCAGCGGGTAGTACTCGCTCTTTCCCCTTTCCTTTGCTCTTTGAAGATGTCTCTGCTATCCGAGACATTACGATGGCCTATACGCAGGCATCGACCACTTTGAATCGCACTATCCTCATCTCTTTGCCACACGAATTAAAAGAGAGTTACCCAGGGGGAACCATCCTTCGTGTGGTCAAGCCATTGTACGGAATCGCTGAAGCAGGCGCTCATTGGTTCAATACGTATCATGAGCATCACCGCATCAAGCTACAGATGGAGCCGTCAACGTTTGATCCATGTTTAATGATAACGACCGCAGAGATCAACGTCACGACCGCAGAGACCAACGCGGATACCGCACTTCAGGTTAATGCCTTCGGCGTTGCCGCGCTTCAGACTGATGATACGTTATTGGTAGGCACAACAACATTCCTGCAACGTGAAGACCGCGAGCTAAGCTTCCAAGCCAAGCCAAAGAAGACCCTACGAGAAGGCGATACCTGTGATTTCAACGGCAGCCTCATTGCTCTAGAGAAGGGCTATCTTCTAGTCATGCAGAAAGGTCAGGTCAACAACCTCAAAATTATCGATCTATCCACGGAAGATCGGGCCCAACGATACGTGGAACAACGTGCCCGTGGCGCCTATATAGCCTCAATTTGTCAACCAGAGGCTAGCTTCGATTATTCAATCGCGGCACAATCACAAGATCCAACCGCGGAGGATTTTCAGGCGTTGAATAAACGGATCCAATGGCAGATCGACAATCCACAAAGAGGCCTTCGATTCGTCCCAATAGGTCTAGAAGCAGCAAAGGTCTTCGTCTTCACAGACGGATCATTCGCCAACAACAAGGACTTAAGCTCTCAGATCGGATTCGTTATAATCATTGCAACTGAGACTAAGTCAGATGAGTCATTCACGATCCACGGAAACCTGATCCATTGGAGCTCGACGAAGTGCAAGAGAGTCACCCGCAGCGTCTTGGCTTCTGAGATATATGAATTAGCTTCAGGCTTCGATTTGGCATATGTGATCACAGAGACGATCAACCAGATCACAAACCGCCTTGGATTGCCGCAAATCCCGCTCGTGGTGTGTACGGATTCGTATAGCCTATACGAGTGCCTCGTGAAGCTTGGCACTACGACGGAGAAACGCCTGATGATCGATATCATGGCGTTGAGGCAAGCGTACGAACAGAGAGACATCACAAGCATCCGTTGGATCAATGGTGCGGACAACCCGGCTGATGCAATGACGAAGCTATCTCCGAACGGAGCCTTGACCCGATTCGTCAACGACAACGAGATCACGATCCGGCTTGAAGGTTGGGTTCAAAGGAAGGAAGATATGACGATTGAAGAGGCGATTAACGATTGACGATTTCCTTGGTTTTTTTTTCCCCTATTATCTGATGCGTTTGCTTCGACTTTAAAAGAGCTGCCAGTGTCTGATCATTTGTACGATAGAGCGCACATCGCAGAAGGATATCACGTGCGTCATCAGGGAACAACGATTACCCGCACACACACACACAACCTATCAAACCTCACCGCATGGTCTAGATAGCAAAAAAAGAATAACAATAACAACATGATCACCGATCAAAGACCCAACTGAGCCTCAGTTAGCCTATCCACACCGGACCTTTTTGGGCTGTCCGGGCCTTTTTTTCCCAACTTCGGGGAAGGGCCCCAAGTTGGCTTACTGAGGTACTCGGGGGGTTGACTAGCCGGGGTCCCCTGCAAGGCCCCCCCCTCTCCTACTGGAGAGGGGGGCACAAAACCCGTTTCTTTGACGTTCGCGTTTCCCTCTATCGCGGCTTCAATAAGCCGCCACCCCATCAATTGATCATTTTGGGTCTCAAAACTTTCACAATATCATCATATATACTTTATTTCCACCATGTCTCATTTTCAGCCCATTCAGAGGGAGCGCGCAGCTAAGGCGGCGCGAGATTATCTTGAGGGTGCCTCGCAGACGCGTACAGCACGCGCAAATCCTCCACGCGTCTTGACAATCAACGAGCTTGCTTTAAAGCACAAGACCAATGAAGGCCTCGTAAAGAAGTATATTGGGCTTCTTCGTGCTAATCAGGCTCTTCCATCCGGGGGAAAGGGAGGCCGACCTACTGCTCTTACCGATGCTGAAGAAAAGAGTCTGGTCTCGTACGCAAGCTTCGTTGAGGGCACCCCTTTCGCTCTTACGGAGGCATGCCTCATCAATAAGGCCAACTTTATCCGTCAACATCGCCGCCAGGGCCCTACTTCAAAGGTTTCGAGATCGTGGCTTACTCGCTTTAAACGGCGGCACCCAGAACTTACCGTCAAGAAGGCTAGGATCCAAGAGGTCTCACGCGCCAGCGCCGAGCTCGAGGTTGACGAGCTCGAGGCTTGGTTCCAAGAATATCAGGCCGTCATTAAAGAACTCGCGATAATGCCAGAAAATCTATGGAATTTCGACGAGACGCCCCTTCAGCTTGGGTGGATGAAAGGCACCCTAAAGCTAGTTTCAGTACGAAGGAGGAAGAGCAAACGACCCGTCTTCTTCCAGCCAGGGAACAAAGAGTCGTTGACATCCATAGATGCCATCAGTGCCGCCGGAAGATCCATTCCTTCTTTTCTTATTCTTAGCGCAAAATCCCTCCTTGAAGAATACGCGATGTCTACACTTAACGACGACGTTGTCACTACATATACAGCAACCGGATATAATAATAGCCAGCGAGCGTTCCAGTGGCTTCAACACTTCAATCACTTAGTGACTCCTTTGCTAGGAGCAGCTCTTTTGAAGGCCATACTATCGAGGGCTGGTTCGGCTACCCGGCTACAATCACACGCGAGGGCTGGGAGGGCCATGAGCAACGGTGTACATTCTACACTCGGATGACGAAGACGGTCTTCCGGCTACTCGTTATGGATGGCTTCGCTGCACACGAGGACCCTGAATTTATCTGGTATTGCGACAAATTCGAGATCGTGCCGTTTAAGTTGCCATCGCATACAAGCCACCTCCTTCAACCTTGATGCGTTTTTGCGTGTCCCTACGCACACTGGAGCGTTGGGCACGGCACCAAGCATCAAGGACACCGGCTGCCGCACGCACAGCCATGTGAACAGGCAGCCGTGTGAACAGGCAGCCGTGTGAAACAGGCAGCCGTGTGAAACAGGCAGCCGTGTGAACAGGCATCGGTATGTGGCTGCCTTGTAAACCGGCCGGATCGCCTAGATAGTCCGACCTGGCTGCCTCCTACATAAGGATGAGGCAGTCATAGCTTAGTTGGAGAAACAACGATCCCACTTCATCTCATCCATATGCAAAATGCATCAGATTGGTAGCAATTCCTACCCTTTGCTTTGATTAGCACCAGTGAGCCATTGTGTAAGCCTCACACCATAGCTCAAGTCTGCTTGGGCACCACACGTGAGCCGTTGACTCGGGCTCGCACCAAAAAACCACCAAAAACAACCATCGTGACTTACATAAGTCGCCCCACGAGCTTACCCAAGCTCACCACCCCCCACGAGCTTATCCCAAAGCTCATCAATCCTTTGGCTTGCTAACCAGCTAACCTTGTGGTGCGACCGACACCCTTGACAGCTAGCAGCCAACATTTCTTCACCCTCGTGATAACGCTATAGGGTCAATACCGTTGCATTAAGGTGTCTTTCGCTCGTGACGACTTTGGTGATAGGAAGTTTTGCGAAAGCCCGTGTAATCGTATATCACTATCGCAAGTGTCAGCTGGCAAGCAAACCGACCACACAATGGCCAAACCGACCAACGAAGGAAGCTCGGTCAAGCAAGCTGACGATAGAAGCTCGCCACGCCCGGCTGAAGAAGATGATGGACCCCGGCTACCGGACGCAGTCCAGCAACGCCGCCCGAAGCGCAACAGAGTCTCTCTCAACCCCAAGGACAATCATTCGCAATTGGCAGACCAATTACAGCAGCTCCCAGAAGCTCTCAACGCGTGGAAATGGTCCATCCGATTCCTCAAGCTGATGCGAGACAAATCTAAGGAAGCTCTCGATACCTTCACAGTCCGTGACAAGGAAGCATGTGAAGCCTTGGAAGATCTCCTTTTCCACGTCTGTGCTCATCAAATCAGCCTACGCGAAGTATTGGCTGTACCACAAGCCGGCATCTCGGACCTCGAACATGTGCCTGCATGGAGAGCAGTGGTGGAAAAGCCTATATTGTGCCGGAACCCACAGAGGACAACATGATGAAATTGATCTCGAAGATCACGCCCAAGGAAGTTGATTCGAGGTCAATGACATCCAATTTGGTATATCTTCCGGATGCCGACCAACAACTTCCCACGGAACAGCGAGGTATAAATTCTCAAGCTATGTTGCAGTCAACGGAACCCCCAAAGGCGCCAACTCAGTCACAATCACCTTCAGGCGTGAGGAAGCAGAAAGGAAGCCGGCATAGCCACCACAGCCGCCGCGACCGCCGCAGTCACCACAAGCATCGCAGATACCTACGACTAGATGATTCAAGCGACTCGAATCTTCTTCTTCCAGCAGCAGCAGCTCTGGAAGCAGCATTGGCATTGGATACGCTCACAGCCGCCGGAGCGCTCTCTCCTACCACACAGACCTTTCAAACCTCTAGTGATGTGGAAGCTGTTGCCAAGAGGCTCAAACGTGACAACATGGGTGTTTTCAACCCCAATCACAAGGATCCTCATAAACAAGGCCTTGTGTCCCTCTCAAGCGGCAGCAATGTGTACACGGATGTATACCTCTTCTGCGAGCGCCTGCGAATGTACAAGGATCTCGACTCCTACGCCTTGTCGCAGCACTATATGTCTTTCCTTGCCGGCGGAGCTCTACAGTGGTTCATGAATGAACTTTCCATCGAGCAGAAGGATCGCCTTATGAAGTCATCAGTAGAGCGTTTCTGTAAAATGCTCATCAAGCGATTCCAACGCCCAGCAGCAGAGGTCTCCAGGAATTACACGGCATTCCGTATACCGTGTCAATGTGGAATGCTGGTGAAGTCTCCTTGCCTCAATGGATTCAACGGAAAGTCTCCTAGCAAGGCAAATCAACATCGAAAAGGACTACCAAATCATCCAAAGCATCCACCCCTTGATTGCGGTCCAAATCGCTACTCACCTCTCTGTGCCCACTAAACGCACGCCAATTGACAAGTGGGTACGAGAAATCGAGGAACGCCGACCCTGATCTCCGCGGCATTGGAATTTCGCGGCAGATACGATGAACGCCCCAAGGCCGTGACCGTGACCGCAACTACCAAAGTCGTGATCGTAGTAGTGATCGTGATCGCAGCTTTAGGAACGATAGCCGCGACCGCGACCGCAGCTATCAGCGAGATCACTACCAACGCGATCGAGGCCTTGACCGCAGAGACCGCAGCAACCCCAGCAGCGACTCACGGGCCAAGGAAAGGCGAGAGAACCGCCCCAAAGATCCTCAGCGCAATGAGCGAAGCGGCGGCTATGAGAAAAAGGTCCGCTTTGAGAAAAATTACCTTGCCAGCGAGGACGAAAACAAGCAAGATGCTTCAGACAACAAGAAAACCGCCATTTCCGACGACGATGAAGCCAGTGATGTAGGATCAGACGCTTCTATCGAGGAATACTACGTCTGTATGACCTCAACTCCTGAGAATCTTGGCCAACAAGGAAACCACCAATGCCGAAAGTGTAACCGCAAGTTCCTCCGCAGTGTGTTATTTGAGCACACACAAGCACGCTGCTGTGTGTCTGCTCAACAGCTCCAGCAGGAGGCGACCCCAGCAAGACCTTCGTTATGTGGGAAATGCTACGCCCAATTTCCTCACGCAATGCACTCTTCAGGCACCTTCCTGGCTGCGTGTCACAGCCCAAGGCCCACTCAAATGGAGAGGCATATAAAGCCGTAGAGCAGCACAATCCAATTCCTCCCAGAAACCCCAGTATTTTGGGGAACAACCGCGGGCGCTACCGCAGAAAACCCTCGAGCCACAACCGCTCGAGCCGCCATCGCACGATGCCCCTTCGGCTACTCATATCTTCGCATCAAGATCAAGGCAGCTCCCACAGGACCAGAGACCGAGGTCTGTGCGGATTCCGGGTGTGGCAACCCCCTGATTGACAGAAAGCTTCTCAAGAGCTTCGAGCACACCATTGAGAAGAAGCCTCCAACGCCAATTGCAGGCATCAGCGGCAGTGTCCGCTGCACAGACTGGGCCACGTTCTCCTTCTATGCAGAAGGAAAGAGGGCTGACGGTAGCAGCGCCGGCATAGCTAAATTCACCAGTTCCGCTTGGGTGACTACCGTGGAACCAGGAGCCTTGCTAGGCAATGCCTTCCTCAAGCCGTATGTTGGAAACATCCACTACGACAAGGAAGTCGTTCAAATAGGCCTCCTTGACGACTTCGGTATCCCTTTTAACATCTATAAGCCTCATAAAGGGGTAGTCCGACGCGTTCAGGCCGTCAGAAAACCATTGCCGTTCCTTCGCTTTTCATTCCAATCATCCCTTGGCCGCTCATGCTCTCGTTGACCGAAACACTGTCCCAGCGGTCATGTTCACGAACACTACGAACCAAGATATCATCGTGAACCGCAAACAGCGCCTAGGGCAGATCAAAGAATGCGAGGAATCGGGCTACTTCGCTGCAGCCTCATGGAAATCAGCTCTGACAGCTTTGACAATAGCCACAGCGGCCTTGGCCCCAACAACTTCTGCAATGACGATTGAAAGCGCTCCCAGAGCCATACATCGTATGATCTTGCTATCAATAGCACCTTCCACCTCTCAGACGATGTTATCGCAATAGCTGACGGGACTTTCACCCGGAGGAAGCCCTGTTCTAGCAGCAACCGCAGAATCAGTTTCAAGCTTATCAGAAGCTTTGTACGCATACACAACAGCAGCCAGCAACGACAGCCAGCCTTGGTCAACAACAAGAAAGGAGCTCCACGTCACAAGCACCCAGCTGAGTGCAGCAGCAACAGCCGATACTCCTGACCTTGCCCCTGAGACCCGAATTCCGTATCAAACGCATCGTTCAACGCACGCCAGAGCTCCCAGAGGTGTGCACTGACGACGGAATTCACATCTATGCGCAGAAAGGCAGCTTCGTGACCAAGATCAAAGCCCTTGTTGAAAAACACGCCAAACTATGGAAAGACTCGGGCACAGCTGAAGTCGAAGCAGGCCACGAGCTCACAGTTCCCTTATCAAGGATTGGCACACGCACAAGGTGGCTCAACGCCCTATCCTCAGGGATTACGAGACAAACAGGTCATTGATGAAACCCATGACAAGCTCCACGCACAAGGACGTATGGAATACGTGCACGGACCAACCCCTTTGCAGCCCCGTCTTCGTTGTGTGGCGAACAGCCCGAGGAGAAACCAAGGGCAGGGTCGTCATCGATTTGCGAGCTCTTAATAAGGTCACCATGCCAGACAGCTATCCTTGCCATTGCAAGAAGACATCATCCAAGAGCTTGAGGCGCACAGTACATCACAGCAATCGACGCATCGTCCTTTACCACCAATTCCGAGTCAAACTCGAACATCGTGATCGTTTTACCTCACGAGCCATAGAGGACTGGAAAGACTGACTGTTGCACCAATTGGCTTCTGCAATAGCCCGGCCTACGCCCAGCGCTATATGGATCGAGTGCTTCGACCATATAAGGGGTTTTGCAGAGCGTTTATGGACGACGTTGTGATCTATTCGCCAACGGAACACAGGCTGGCAGCCTTTGCAAAGCTGGAATTTCCAGACCAGCTATCTGCGTTGGAAAGCTACATTGGAGCAACAGGCTACCTACGGCATCTCTTACCGTATTATGGAGCCCTCATTGAGCCATTGCAGCACCGGAAAACTCAATTACTAGCCCAAGGACGAGAAATTGGCAAAATTCAGCAAGGTAACATCAACAAACGCCGTGCCTTTGCGAGGAACACCAAATTCGAGCCTAGTGAAAAGGAGCGGTTGGCATTTGAAGCTATCCAAAAGGAAGTAGCCTCCGGCAGGATGATCCACCATATGGACCCAAGCAGGCAACTGTTCTGTCAAGTTGACGGGTCCTTGCAACGAGGATTTGCCTGTACCTACTTCCACCTTAAAGAAGGTTACGAATGGAAGCCTGGCCAAGCTATTTCCTCAACAGCGATGCAACCTATAGCTTTTCTCAGCCGCACCTCACCAACGCAGAGAGATCATATGGTCCGTCGGAATTAGAAGTGGCCTGCCTAGTCTGGGCTATCAAAAAGATGCGCACAGTGGTCCAATCGTCAACGAAGCCCTTAATCGTGCTTACGGACCATTCAGCCACACAGCAGATCGTCAATAAGACCTCCCTCGACACTTCAAGCACGGACAGAGCAAATAGACGGCTAGTAGTAGCCTCCATCTATCTCTCTCAGTACGAATTGCAGGTTGATCATCTTCCAGGGAAAATCAATTTCATCCCTGATGCCTTAAGCAGGCTGTCAGCCCCTGAGACCGACCAATTGATCGAGCGACAACGACCTGACTACACAGCGCTTGACGATGTGCTCCTTGCGTCTGAGGCCATCATGGATCCAGCATACCGCATCAAATTCACAGAAGGCTATCAGGCTGATACCCATTATCGCAAGATCCTTCAAATGATCCAGGACAGTGAGAACACGGTCAAAGCTTCTAGGGCCCCGGAAATCGCGAAAATCAAGCGCAGAGGAATTCCTTTTCGTGGACCAGGGTCTGTTATATCACGAAGGAAAAGATGGATATGTTCGTCTCTGCGTGCCCGCAAGCCTCACGCACGAATTGATGCAAATGGCACACGACGACAAGCACCACTTTGGCGTTGTGAGAATGCTCAAGGAGTTGGAAACCTATTCGATCAGGAACGTCTCTTGGCAAGCGAAAAGCACATCGCCAAGTGCAAAGCTTGCTGCCTTGGACAGACTGATCGACAACAGCTTGCTGGAAGCTATCTGCCCAATCGACCCCCGATGCTTCCAATGCAGTCAATTGCAATGGACTTCATCACAGACATGCCTGCCGTCTCAGCTATGGGCTCACCCTGGCATATTGAAGGCTTTAATGCCTTTAATCAATTACTTACAGTCACTTGCTTAGCTAGCAAGCGATGCCTACTGATTCCAGGCAATGCAAAGTATAGCGCCAAGGACTGGGCAGCCTCCCTAGCTAGGCAGCTCATGCTATGTGATTGGGGCATGCCGCGCACGATAGTCAGTGACAGAGACCGCAAATTCACCTCTGCTTTCTGGCAAGGGCTCTGGAAGGCCTTTGGCACCAGAATCAGCATGACAACGGCATATCATCCGCAGGCGGACGGCTTGGCCGAGCGGCGCAATCAAACAGTGGAAACAGCGTTGCGACTGGCCTATATTGAGGACCCCAACCTTGACTGGAAGACCCTTATTCCTTCGCTGCAGTGGCATCTAAACACAGCCTACAACACCAGCACGAAGACCTCAGCCCATGAACTAATGTACGGTTTCCCCTGAAAGGGCCCTGGAGGCTGTTGATCGCACAGCCAGCGCAGAGGCAGACGAATTGCCCTACATCAAGGAAGCCTTGCGTAAGCAGGCCAGCCTAGCTATGGACCTTGCAGCGATGAAGGCCAAGCGTTGGTACGATGCCAAACACCGACCTATCCATCTCAAGGCTGGAGACAAGGTATATCTCAAGCTTCATCAGGATATCACCAGCCAGGCAGGCCACCCAAGAAGTGGTCACAACAGCGGGAAGGCCCTTTGTGATCAGAAGGATGGTTGGAGACCTGGCCTGTGAATTGACCTTCCAGAGCAAATTAAGGTCCACCCAGTGATCTCAATACACCACCTCAAGCCAGCTCACGAAGGCTGCTTTGAAGAAGCTCACCCTGACCAGTAGAAGTCACAAAGGACTTTACGGACCAGGAAGGCGAATTCTACGAAGTTGACAAGCTTCTGGACGTACGGGTCAGGAAGATTGGAAGAAACAGGAAGCCCGTCACGGAGTACTTGGTCCACTGGAAAGGATGGGGCAGCATGCATGATCAGTGGGTCAGGAAGGAAGAGATATCGTCAAAGGCCCTGGATGAGTTCCACGGGCAGACGACGGGACCGCGAGTGGTTCGCAACAGCAAAGCAAAGGGACGATCGGAAAGTTCTGACATGTAGCCTTTGTTGAGGCAGTCACTGAGGACAGTGGAGTTTTCTTTGAGGCCGGCATTATGATGCGTTTTTGCGTGTCCCTACGCACACTGGAGCGTTGGGCACGGCACCAAGCATCAAGGACACCGGCTGCCGCACGCACAGCCATGTGAACAGGCAGCCGTGTGAACAGGCAGCCGTGTGAAACAGGCAGCCGTGTGAAACAGGCAGCCGTGAACAGGCATCGGTATGTGGCTGCCTTGTAAACCGGCCGGATCGCCTAGATAGTCCGACCTGGCTGCCTCCTACATAAGGATGAGGCAGTCATAGCTTAGTTGGAGAAACAACGATCCCACTTCATCTCATCCATATGCAAAATGCATCAAACCTCTTGACGTTGGCGTTTATCAACATCTTAAACGCGCACAGCAAGGGGCCCTAAAGGATTTCGTTATCGGCGGCGGCACACGCATCTCGAGATTCGACTTTCTCTGCCAGTGGAACGACCTATTTAACGCGGCGTTTAAGGTTTGCTATATCTTTGTGGGCTTTGAACAGTCTGGACTCTGGCCCCCTGATCCGAAGGTTGTATTGGGCCCTTTACGAGCCGCCTCTAAAGGCCGAGAGCAACCTCTTTTCCCACAGCTTTTGGCGAGGAATTTGGTAACGCCACGTAAGGTAAAGAGTGACCTTAAAGCCAGTCGGAAAAAACTCGATGTCTTGAGCAGCCCGACAAGAGAGGTTGTTAATAACGCGTCAGCCTGCCTTGATCTTGCGATTTTGACACAATCGTCTCATAAGCAGTTTATACAGCACCAGCAAGACCGCATCCAACGCGAGAGACGCAGAACTAAGACCCTACGCCGTATCCGAGGCGTTGACGATGGCGCCTTTACGATGCAGCAACTACGAGAGAAGGTGGCCGCCCGGGAGCAAGATGATCACGAGGCTATTGTAAGGCGGGCTCTTAAGGATAGTGAGACTCAATTTCGACAACTTCGTGCTGCTGCCGCACGAACCTCGTCACAACCTCGTCTACGCGGTCGAGCTGCCGTGGCGGCAAAAGCAGCAGAAGAGGCCAAGCATAGGGCATACATTCAACAACTCGTAACCCCGGAAGAAGCTATCGCTCGCGAGGCTCTCCAAGAGCGCTGGAATGCGGCTACAGAGGAAGATCGGTCTTTCCTTTGGGCAACACGCCCTCAAGGCGATCTCATGGCTCTTCCAGATGTCATGGCCTGGTCACAAGTCCATGAAGAGGCGCGAGCACAGGCTGCGGCTAACAAGGCCGAAGCCGACAAAGACTCCGATATCGATTATAATTTCATCTCCACGATGCTTTCTTCAGAGCCGGATATCTCGCCTCAACATAGCTGCGACGAGGATTACGTTCAAATCGTAACAACACGACGCCAACGCCAGCATATAGTTGCATCACCACTACCGCAGCTTCCGCTCGAGCAACAGCCGCCAGAGCGGCGGTGGCGGCCGGTGCGGTTAAGCGAAGAGAACGAGGCGGCGATCCAGGCTGAGCTTGAGGAGGAGAGATGCGCTATCATGCGTGCGTACGACTTGGAGGATGAAGGACAGGATGAGCCGGAGGTTGTTATATGTGGTAGACGAATTGCTGTACCAAAGACGCGCGAACGTTAGACGTAGGTAGAGCATTAGACATACAATGCAACGACAACCACCAAACCAATTCTGGCGAGAATTAGTAAATGGGTTCTATAGTGCCTAATGAATAGTATCTCCAATTTTCTTTATTCTCGGAACATATATTGATGGGGTGGCGGCTTATTGAAGCCGCGATAGAGGGAAACGCGAACGTCAAAGAAACGGGTTTTGTGCCCCCCTCTCCAGTAGGAGAGGGGGGGGGCCTTGCAGGGGACCCCGGCAAGTCAACCCCCCGAGTACTTCGAGGACCAGAATCGAGCCTTCATCGCCGGAGACGCTGCAGCAACCTTCTGTAGTCAGCAGCCTATACGGAGAGCGCACCAGCCAGCCTTACGTCGTGCTAGGCACGCCGCTTCCAGCAACCCAACAAAGCTCGCGGTTCTTCCGGGCGCTGGCCCCGTCACCTGCTGAGCAGCCAGCGACCGATCCAGTCGCCTCCCATTTGATCCATCGACTGCCCGAGGCAACACAACCAGAATGAATTATTCTTACCTGGCTGCTAGATTCCACAAAGGCGGGAAGGTCTCGCAAGATGGTCTCTCTACCGCCGGGGCTAGGGTTAAGCTGGCCGCTATCCAGCGCGACCATCGATCACGACGTCGTGCAGGGGAGACTGTGTCACTGACTCCTTCCATATCTCAACTCGGCGTCTCGGAAGGTTCGGGTGTCCTGGATAAGATATCCCTTGTGTTTTCGTTGCAGCAGTGTGTTCGGGCTAATAGGGAAAGTAGATACGAGTCGAGATCGGCCGCAGCCGAGCGGGCTTCTAGATGGGGATCAGGTAGCCAAGGAAGGAGGCGATATAGACCAGTTTTCCGAACCCGATATGGATGCCGAGGACTATTTCAACCTGCTGCTTTCCCCCGTTCGACCGCGTCGCTACCGTGAACAATTAGGGGCTGATTGCGACTCCGATGCCGAGAACGAAGACGAGAACAACGATAACGACTCCGTGTATGAAAGTCCTGTTCGTAGTCGCTTGCAGCAGCCGTCTGCGCGGCCAAGACGCGGCCGCCGTGGCCCTGCCCCTGGCACAGGAGGGCGGCCGAGACAACCGGGAAGGCGAATCCAGAGACAACCTCGATGGCAAGATCGACTGTCGCGGCCGCCACGGCGTATTCGAAGTCCAGTGATAATTCCACCGGAAGAAATGGCGGTCTTCCGTGCACAAGATCCGGCGTGGACTGGCGACCTGGATACTTGCGCCTTGACGGACTGCGATAGGGCCACCCTCCGCGAGTTCTGGACCAAACTCGACAATGACCAGATGGAATACTGCAGCCGATGCCACGAGTGTTGGTTTCAGATGGAAATAGATTATGACGGCATTTGTTCGCGTTGCTATCGAAAGGATGAGAAACGTGGCCCCGACGAGCCTTACTTCTTCTCTGCGGAAAACCAGCTCGACTTTGGCCCCGTGCCGACCCGATTGCCCGAGCTCACACCTACCGAAGAGGCATTGATTGCTCGTGTCCATGTCCACGTGAACATTATGCTTGTGCGGGGGCAGCAGTACAAGTATCGAGGGCACGTCGTTAACTTTCTCCGCGAGGTTGGCTTGGTGTACAACCAGCTCCCTCTCCTGCCGCGGGAGTTGAACACGGTGTTGCTGCGTCCTGCCAACACGTCGTCACACGCTAATCTCAGCCGGCAGTTCGCCCGCCATTTCCGCGTGCGTCGCCAGGCGGTTATGATATGGCTAGACTACCTCCGCCATCATCATCCTGGCTATCGATCCATCGCCATTGACGACGAGCGACTGAGCCAACTGCCCGAGGACGGCAGTGTGGTGGACGCCATCCCCCAAAGTCAGGTGGAGGCTGCCGATGTGGGACCGGAGGAAGATCAGGTTCAGCGCAGGAAATTTCCCACTTGCTGCTCAACATCCCTCTGCAGGAAGGCACTCGGATGGTTGTGTACGTCGACTGCCGCCCGTTGGGCAGCATGTGCGGTCGTACCGTGTCGACGAGGATGTCAGTGAGGCTGTCGGCAGCTACCGGAAATATCTGCAGAGAGATGACCAACATGAGAGTATAACCTATCTCGAGTACCTGCAGTCCTACAATCTCAAGAGGTGGAGGAGACTCGGTGCGAACGCGAAGAAGAGGGTCCTGTCCTATTTCCCTCGGTACAGGTCAGCGGAGGCGTCACCCCAGTTTCATGACTTCTGCCGTGTCAAGTTGATGATGGCCCATCCGCATCGCTCTCCGGAGGAGCTGCTTGCTGTGGACGGGCAGCGGTTGAGTGCTTTGCGGCGGCGTACCAGTGCTGCCGGCAGCGACACCATTTCCACGAGGACGACCATTACGGGGAGGTGGGAGCAAATGAGCTGCAGGCAGAGGACGATGAGTTTGAGCGGGAGGAGCACGAAGAGCCTGTCGTGGAGGAAGATTGGCATGAACTCGCCCGTATGCTGCCGGATCATCCGCTGGAGGAGGACGATATCGACGTGCTGGGCCGGCGAGATGTCGACGTGAATTATGACTGGACTCCCCACGTTGGACGGTATACCGATGACGGCATTCTCCACGGTGACTTCTGGAAGCAACGCAAAGCCGAAAGCCCCCTTCACCTTGATGTGGATCATCAGCCGCTGGAGGCTCGCGATTCCCTGAATCCGGAGCAGCGCCTAGTGTACGATACGGTGATGGGCCACTTTCTGACCCAGGCCTGCTCCCAGTTGTTACTCCATGTGGACGGTGGCGGTGGCACGGGCAAATCGTACCTTATCAATCTGCTCTCGGCGCACCTCCAAGCCGCCTCGGGAGGAAGAGGCACGCCCGTTTGGCGTGCCGCGCCCACGGGCGTTGCGGGAAATCAGATATCGGGCACCACCTTGCACTCCCTGCTGCACCTCCCCATCAACAAGGACTTCAAGCCCCTGTCAGCGATCGACAAAGCTCAGCTCCAGAAGAAGCTGAAGAATGTCAAGTACCTGATCGTCGATGAGAAGAGCATGCTGGGTCTGCGACAGCTGTCATGGATTGATGACCGTCTCCGTGAGGCGTTTCCGAATAGGAATGAGGAGTTCTTTGGTGGTCTTAATATCCTCCTGGTTGGCGACTTCTTTCAGCTTCCCCGTACTGCAGAAGCCTCTTTATTACGACAAGGAGGTGCAGGAGTAGAGATCAAGGGCAGGAACGCATATCGGCGCTTCGACAAGACGGTTTTCTTGAAGGTTGCCCAGCGTCAGCGCGGCGACGATCAGGGAGCGTTTCGCTCAGCTCTTGAGGAATTGCGGTTGCTCCAACTATCTATGGAGTCCTGGAAGCTCCTCTCCAGCCGCGTGCAGGCGAAGCTGGACGATCAGGAGGTTGCCAGGTTCGTCAATTCCCTGCGAGTATACGCCACGAAAGACAGGGTGAACGAATATAACCACTACCACTCGACCGCCTAGGCCGGCCTGTCATTCAGGTCATGGCTAAGAACGTTGGCCCCGATGCTGCTGCTGCTCCTGACGACAAGGCAGGCAACCTTGCGAAGCAGATTCCCGTATGCATTGGCGCCCGTCTGATGCTGACGTCCAACCTTTGGCAGCCGGTTGGCCTCTGCAACGGTGCACGTGGTACAGTGTACGATATCGCCTGGGCGCCTGGAGCTGACCCCATGCAAGACCCTCCTTGCGTGATTATGATGGAGTTTGACAAGTACATGGGGCCAGTATTCCTGACCACCTCAGATGGCAGGAAGATTGTCCCAATTCTGCCAGTAAACAGGGACTTCCTCGTCGGATCCACACTCTGCACTCGCACGCAGTTTCCCCTGATCGTATGCTACGCCATTACGGTTCACAAGTCGCAGAGCATCACCGAAGACATGATCGTGACAGATCTGTCCTGCCGTGACTTTCAGACCGGTTTGAGCTACGTGGCCGTCTCGCGTGTGAAGACGCTGCAGGGTCTAATGCTAGATGCGCCGTTTGACCGCAATCATCTAACTTACGCTCGCCGCCGGAAGGAATTAAGATGAAAATGAGGGATCAGCAACTTCGCAAACGACAGGTTCTCGTCCATAATCCGTACAAGATAGGCCACGGGCCTACGTAACTCTACTTGATGCTACCCGCGACAAGAACGACAGTTTCAGGGCGCGGATAACGTAATGAATGTATGATTGGAGATACTGTACTGATTGTTCGGTGACTGCTTAACTGTTGGCCTGACTCGCAGCCTTTGGCTGATTGTACGCCTTGCACCAGAGCTCTAAAGTGCAAGGTGTGACGTAGTATTTTAAACTACTACTACTACCTACTACTACGCATCACCCTCCCACCATCATTACACTGCTTTAAGCGCAGCACTATCAAAGATGCTAGCATTGCCGGTGCATATTACCAGCCGCTATTGCATAGTAGATATGTATGTAGCTGCTGCCGCGTCTTATCGGCTACCAGTTTCGTGATGGGGTCGTTCATTGCTCGTGGTCGTTCACAGTACTAGGGGGGACTAAAATTCGTCCCGGAGGGGGGTGAGGGACGAATTTTAGTCCCCCCTAGTAACCCAAATTTACTACGCAGCTTCAGAAAACTGTGTAAACTGTGGGTGAGCATAACCCCCCCTCCGTTATATAGCTGTCCCCCACGTCTATCAAACGTCCTAAGAAAATAGAATTGCAGGCGCAGCAAACCTATGTTTCAAGCACCGAGTCCAATCGGCGTTCGGTAAATACCGGACTAGCTGCCGCTAGTTTTACGTTCTTGATTCAGCGTGCCTTCGCCAGCGTAATGCGCAGCCGCATCGGCTGGATGATTACTGCTACATGGAGGGGCCGCTTCCCTGCACCGTTGCCAGCGTGACTAACGTAGCAAGGTTGTTGCGAAGCCGCTCGTAGGACCTCTAGAGGTTCCCTGCTTGCTGATGCTCCTGCTGAGACAGTCAGCCAGGACGTCAGGCCTGCTTTCTGATGCGTCGGCTGAGACAGTCAGCCCGGCCGTCAGGACGGTGTCCTAGGAAAAGTGGGCGCAGCCACCCCGACGATTGACGGAGGTGTGAGGCAGACGGAGAAGATCGAGATTGTGGCCAGGAATAAAAGGGCGAGGAAGGAAGGAACAGACACAGAGAACAGAAGGGAAAATGGAGCAGCACCGGACGATTCTGAAATACTAACTTTATGCCTATTTGGCCCTACTATTCGTGACAGTTATGAGCCCGGGAGGAGGGGCTAACCCCTCCTGGAACTTCCGGTAACTGCGCACGACCACCTAGGCTAGCGCGCACCCCGACGGAGTCAGTGTTCGAGACCTGCACCTGTGTAATGCCATAGCCAGAGCCCGAGGCACTGTCGCAGAGTAGCCCGAATGGCACTGCGCAGAGAAGGCCCAGAGCTAAAGCGAGAGTGGTCTCAGGAATCCCAGGCTAGCCCGTGATCCCTGAGGGGGTGTGTCGCGAAGCAGATTTGATGTTCAATTGAACATGTCACCTGAACAACAGGTGGCTTGATTTTTCGTGACAGTTATGAGCCCGGGAGGAACTACGTTCCTGTAACTTCCATTCCGACCGAAAACCACTCTCAAATCAACGAGATGTCGAAGTCTTCTGCCGCCCCTGCACGAGCGATCCTCTCAGGACCAAGCAACTGGGACAAATGGAGAAGGGAGCTCAGGAATCGAACTGACAAGACGATCCATAGCCTGATCTTTACCAACGAGGACCCCTCGAACCTCCTGAGCGACCTGAATTCCGCCACTACGCCCTGATGCTGTTAGACTCGCTGACCTCTCTGCCGTTCAGAAGAGAGATTATAACGACGCGATGCGGGACTATGATATCAGGAGGAAAGAGTATAAAGATGAGACTAAACTGGTTACCAACGCTCGCATAGCGATGCAGGAATCAGTGGTATCCTCGAAGCAGAACGCCTTCGACGAAGACCTTCCAATTCGTCAGTGGTTTAAACGTCTAGAAGCGTCGACGGCCCTGAAGCGGGATATATGATGAATCTCACAAGGACCAAGTATTCGACCCACCTAAAGAGATTTAACGCAAAGGATCTAGACTCCTGGATCGACAAATGGGAAGACATAATGTCTGACGCCGATAAGTATAAGCTAATGGAGGCCCAAACGGGCCAGTGGCTTAGAGACGTTGCCACATTGATTAGGCCTCTGGATAACTCCTAGGCTACCAGTACGAACAAGGAAGCAGGATACTCGACGCAAAATCAGAGGCTACCCAGGGAAACTGTTCGACTTCGACCGATATGGTCCTCCTGCTGCTGCTCCTGTTAACCCCGTTGTTCACAATCCGGCAGCAGCTGCAGTAGCCGCGATGGCCGCTGCAGCAACGGCCGCAGTCGCCGCCGTTCTTGCAGCCCAAGCTCCGACGGAGAGTCAATGGACTGTTGAGAGTCGTGCGAGATGTGAAGCATCTGGCCGAAAGCAGAGAAGCAGAAAAACCCCGAGGTGCTATCAAAAGAGGAGGCGCATTTCATGCGGACAAAGCAGCAGCAGACGCAGACGATGCGGACGAAGTACCGCCAGCGAAGAAGAAGAAGCTGGACAGAGAGCCCTTGGAAAGGGAGCCATATTCCAAAAGAGATCCCTGCCTTGCCTGCAGACGCAAGGGACACGAGCTCGAGGGTTGCTGGCAGGTTATCGAAGAAGCCAGACCAGAGGGCTATAATCCGCCCCCTGAAAGGTATCTCAAGATGACACGAGAGAGTCGCTGACGATCCTGTCCTGAAAAGGAGAATTGAAGATATTCGAAAGAAAATGCAGAAATAGCAACCAAGGATGAGGGGAAGGCTTGTGGGCTCAGCAAACCCAGCTTTCGTGTTCTCAGCTGAGTCCCCTGGCCTAAGGGGATCGGAATATCCGCTTAAGAATTCAACCTCCTTGATTGCGGCGCATCTCTTCATATCAACAACAAGCTCAGTCGGTTCCGATCGTTTAAAAGGCCAAGAATGACTTTATCGTCGCCGGTGACTCTTCGTTCGAATCGAAGGATTCGGGCGAGTCAATGTCGCAACGACGATGCCTGACGGCTCCCACCGAACACCTGATTAAAGAAGGTTGCCTACTGTCCCGGTTTCTCATCGAGCCTGGTTTCTTTGCAGACTCTTATCGACGACGATCAGATCTTTTGGGATACGCTGTCTGAGCCTATGAGGCTAGTCCGAAAGGGCCAGACTATCGGGATCACCGAGAGGAAATATCAGCAGTTTGTTGTTGAATACCAGCCCGTGGAAACCGAATTCCCGGATTTCAACAGTGCGTTCCAGGCATCGAAGAAGGAGACAAGGAAAGCTCGAAGAGCCGGCTCAAGAGATCCTCGACCTGCCTCTCAAGGAGACGGCAAGCTTTGGCACGCCCGTCTTGGTCACCCTGGTCCAATGGCTTTGCACAAGCTAGGCCTACAAAGGGGGGTCCGGATTAAGGGCCGAAAACCGTCGAATGCGAGTACTGTGCTCAGGGAAGGTCAGAAGGCAAGTCTCCGCCGTCCACCTGACGAGGAAAGAGACAAGCCGTGCATGAGATCTGGATAGACTGGACCGACCTTGCGAGAGACCACGAGAACTACGTCCGTGTGATGTTTATCACAGACGCCTTCTCTGGAATGGTCTTTCCTACTTCATGAAGACCTACAAGGCAAAGGAACACGGAGCTGTCTTGAAAGACTTTTCCTCCTTTATGCTCGCTCGCTTTGGATTTAAGACGAATGTCGTGCGCTCTGACGGCGAGCTCTTCACGAAGAAAATCTCAGCCTGGATGAGGAAGAAAGGGATGACAAAGGCGATGTCAGCTTCCAACACTCAGGACCAGAATGGTGGAGCCGAGAGGTCAGGAGGATCTCTACCGAGAGAGCGAGAGTCATGAGGATTGCCTCTCGACTACCGCATTCACTATGGAAAGAGATCATCGAAGCAGCCTGCTACCTCCGAAACCGAACGCCAAGAGAGCCTCGATTCGCCGCTGAAAACGCTAACGAAGGAGAAGCCGACTGGAAGTCTCCCATTGACTTGTTCACAGGAAGAAAAATCAGCTCTCACATCTTCGTGCGTACGGCTGCCGAGCCTACGCAATGACAGCAAATGCACAGCTTGGATTGAGGAAGAGGTGGAAGCTCGACCCGAGAGCTCACATCGGATACCTCATCGGTTATAAGTCTACAAATATCTTCCTAATTTGGGTCCTCTCTTGAAGAAGGTCATTGCAACGAGAGATGTTGTCTTTGACGAGTATACGTTCTTCGAAGGAGGAGGCGAGCGGATGCCGCTGCCTGCGAGCATCGGAGAGATGATCCAACAGATTGAAATCCCGGAAGGCCAGACGGCGAATCAGGCCATCCTTGACGAAGAGACCGATGAAGACACTGATATCGAGGACTTCGAGGATGATGACATCAGAATGGCTGAAGATAACGAAGACGAGGAGCAGGGACAACAACAAAGCGAAGAGCAGGAAAAGAAGACTACGGAGAGCGCGGGAGCTGGAAGATGCATACCTAACGCCACCAGCTTCTGACCCGGAGGAAGAAGAACCACATGGAGTCTTTTCGGTTCACTTTCCATACGCTGACCCTAAGGGGGTGGTGGTAAAAGCCCCTTTCCAAGTCGATCTGGAGCCGTTGCAAGCTCAGAAGAGAGTCCGGGTTCAGGATGATCCTGAAGAGGAGGCTCACCCTGAGGGGGTGGGTTGCTCTCTTGGAGGAGCGGCATTTCAAGCCGACCTTGAAGGCCTGATGAAAGAATCGCGTTTGAAAGCTCTGGAACCATTTGATCAACCAGAGCTGGATCAGTCATACATCGACCGTTTTGCCGACTTCGTCCCGGTGCCAATTGAGGACGGGGTGCACGGAGCCTTCACAGCAGGAAGGTTGTTCAGACCGAAAAGCGCAAAAGTCCACAAGAGAGACCTACCTGAGCCTCCACAGACGCAGAAGCAACTAGAAAACACCCGTATAGAGAGGAATTCACCCAGGCTCAGAGAGACCACCTGGCCTCACATGCGGAAATGGGCTCGTTTGACGAGGTCTTCTGGACGAAGGCTGCTGGAAAGCAGGTCCTCGGTTGCAAGTGGGTATTCATCTATAAGACTGATAAGCACGGCAATCTCCAAAAGTGCAAAGCTCGCCTCGTTGTCTGTGGCAATCAGCAAGAAAAGGGGACCTGCCTACTCGAGCGACTACCCTCGCAGGAATGTCGTTTCGTACGCTAATGGCCATTGCCGCGGAACACGACCTCGAATTGGAACAGATGGATGCAGTCAATGCTTTTGTTCATGCCCCCCTCGACGACGAAGAAGTTATCTTCATGAGGATGCCACCGGGGTTCCAGAAGAGGGGGAAAGTCCTACGCCTGAGAAAAGCTCTCTACGGACTACGCCGCTCGCCGCTCCTCTGGCAACAGATGCTTACGTCGTCTCTAGAGGAACTGGGATTCAGAAAAGTTCCCAGGAGCCGTGTGTCATGGTGAAGGGAGCGGTGACCGTCTTCTTCTACGTTGATGACATCATCTGGGCATTCCGGAAGGAGGACGAAGGGTCGTCGAAGAAGCTACTCGGGGACTACAGAAAAGATCAACCTAACTCGGCTTGGAGAACCTCGCTGGTTCTTGGGATTCGTATCCTCCGCGATCGTCAAAGGAAGACGCTTTGGCTGACGCAAGACGCCTATATCGACAAGATCGCGTATAAGTTCCTGTTAAACAACGACAACGCCCCTGAGTCTCTCAAGCTCCCAGACACGCCAATGATCTCTGACGAAGAGCTCCTGCCAGCTACAAGCCAAGCAAATGAAAGGGAAAAACATCAGTATCTCCAGAAGGTTGGTTCCGTGCTCTTCTCAGCAATTTCAACGCGACCAGATATTGCGTTTGCCGTATCCCGACTGGCAAGACATAACCACAATCCCGATGAGAAGCACCAGAAAGCAGCAGACAGAGTTATCCTCTTCCTCTTTGCAACGAGATCGTACGCGTTACGTCTCGGAGGAGGATCGAAGGAAGCGGAGCTGTTCCTCTGTTCGAGTGACGCATCGTTCGCAGACAATTCAGTCGACAGGAAGAGCTCACAAGGCTACGTCATGACCCTATTTGGAGGATCAGTGGCGTGAGAGCGTCAAAGCAAGCGACAGTCACGACGTCAAGCACGGAGGCTGAGTTGCTTGCCTCTCAGAGGCGTCAAAGGAGGCGATCTTCCTGAGCCGTCTGTTGAATTCCTGACATCCGAATTCTCTCCGTTGGTAGTGGAATGCGACAATGCCCAGACGATCAGACTTCTCAAAGAGGAGAGTACGAAGCTCGACGAGACTGAGGCACGTAGACATTCATCAGCATTGGCTACGACAAGAGGTTCAAGATGCTCGAATTGGTCAATTGGGTGCCTACGACACATATGCGAGCAGATGGCTTGACGAAGGCATTGCCGAGGCAGAAGCTCCTCGAGTTCCAACGAATGGTTGGGCTTGAGGAGATAAAGGAACGATTGAGTAGAGAGGCAAGCTTGAAGAATTACGAGATGTGATACATCCCGTGATAGCCATAAAGAGGCCCAGGGCGAGAGATGAGTCGTGCACGACATTCCGCATCTCTAGCAACGTCCTGGTTGGCCGTCACTAAGGGGGTGTGTTGCGAAGCCGCTCGTAGGACCTCTAGAGGTTCCCTGCTTGCTGATGCTCCTGCTGAGACAGTCAGCCAGGACGTCAGGCCTGCTTTCTGATGCGTCGGCTGAGACAGTCAGCCCGGCCGTCAGGACGGTGTCCTAGGAAAAAGTGGGGGGGGGGGCGCAGCCACCCCCGACGATTGACGGAGGTGTGAGGCAGACGGAGAAGATCGAGATTGTGGCCAGGAATAAAAGGGCGAGGAAGGAAGGAACAGACACAGAGAACAGAAGGGAAAATGGAGCAGCACCGGACGATTCTGAAATACTAACTTTATGCCTATTTGGCCCTACTATTCGTGACAAAGGTAGGTCTTTCTGCAACGCCCAAACGATAACCCACTTCTCTATCCTCTCGGGATATGCCAAGTTTCAGCCAGCCCAGAACCACATCAACGTGATTAAAACAATGCAACAGCCCTCCGTGATTCGGTCCTCGGCTCCGCCCAACCGGGGTCCTGACTTTCACTTTGTGCGCCGAACCCGCCCCCGATCCACCGAGTGCGGCCTTGCAGCTCAGGGCCGGCGAACGAGGGCGAAATAAAGTGGAGATCGTGGCTTGCCGGCACGATCTGAGTCTTGTGGACTTGTGTCATGAAGCCAGCGTATGTCCCTTGTCCCCAGGATCGATGGACCGGAACCGAAACTGCCAGGACCGGGGCTATCATGTGTGGTCTACTACATTGTTCCGCGGCAAGTTTGCATGGTGTATTTAACCGGATAGCCTCCCCGAGTCCCCGATCGCAGCGTGCAAGACTAGAATCAAGCAGGTCTCGACAACACTGCCGTTTTCGAACTTTTCCTTTCGCTTATCTTCTCTACATTCCTTTCTTACCAAGACTCCCTTGTTTTCGCGCACGCGCGCTTAGCTGCATCTTCTTTCGTCGCCGCCATGGCCATGCTGCCACTTATCGTGACGGGCGTCATGGCTTCGGTCACTATGGCTGGTACCATTGACACCCGTAGCCAGCCCGGACATTCGTGCGGGACCCGGGATCTCAGCCCGGAGGAGCGCATGATGTTCAAGCGTCAGCGGCCGCAGCCCGATGACAATCAGCTAATTGAGCTTGGCGCGGCCATGACCTTTTGCTGTTCGGGCGCCAACTGCCCTTCTGTGAGAACAAACCCCGTCGGGGCTTCTTGCCACATAACTGGCGATGCTGACGTGTTATTTGCAGGACAACGTTGCTCAAAACGCCGTGGACCAGATGAACTCCTTCTATAAGATGTGCAATATCCAATTCAATCTTCAGAACGTCTCCCAAACCCAAGATCAACGCTGCCAGGCGGGCTTGCAAGATAACGCTGCCATGGACAACCTCAAATCCCAGGTTCACACAGGCAACACGAGCACCCTCAACATTGTCTACGTAAATACCAATCAGGGCGCTGGCGTCAAAGGCGTCTGCGTTATTCCACAACCCCAAACCAACATTGCCCAAGCAGTTGGCAGCAAGGATGGCTGCGTTGTTGCCACTGACACGCTACCGAAGCACAACGGAGGCAACGATGCCGATGGCGGCGGAGGAGCCAAGAAGGGGCGGGCAGGTTATTCGGCCGTCTATTCAGACGTCAAAAAGACAATGGCGGCAGAGGCGGCGGCGGCGGTGGTGACGGTGACGCCAGCGGAGCCGCGACTACTTCTACGCACGAAGCGGGACACTGGTTCGGAGAAGTTCACTTTGGGCAGGGCGGTGGCCAAGGGGGTGGCCAGGGCGGCGGCCCGGTCGGTGGCCCTTTTGGCGGCTCCGCTGGTGGTGGGGGCGTATTTACTAAACGCCAAAATGCGGGAAACATCATGGAGCCCGTCTCGCAGTATGTCTCTTCCTTACCACCTGTTCCAACACCGCCGAGACAACTAACATGGCAAATCTCATAGACCGGGCAAGCAGTACTCTTTTAACCAAGAGCAGTGCAACCGAATGCGACAGGTTGCTATGAGCCGAATCAAAGATCAAAAGGTTCCCGTTACGCAGAAGGGTAGCCAAGAAGGCGGCGGCGGCGGCACTGGTGGAGGCGGCATTGGCAATGGCTCTCCGAACAAAGGTCCCAAGAATCCTCAACTGGTCAAAAGGGCCCATCGGGCGGCAAGGGCCCCAACAGTCCTCAGAAGCCCAGCTCTCCCCAGTCTCCCGACAGCCCCAACGGAAGCAAGGGCCCCAACAGTCCTCAGAACCCGAGCCCTCCCCAGTCTCCCAATGGAGACGGAAGCAACGGAAGCAACGGAAGCAACGGCAACAACAAAGGCGGAGGGGGAAACACCGGAGGCCTACCTAACACCGGAATTGGTTCCGGCCGTCCTAAACAGGGAAGCGTTCCAGGGCCAAATCTTCAACCTCCCACAGAAACCGGCAATAGGGACCCTTCAGACCCTCCGGACCTGGCAATGATCCATTCCAGGGCTCCCCATCACCCCGGTACAAGTCTTTCCTACAAACTCGGGGGCAACCAAGGCTTCCTCGGTGACCAGGGCCCTGGTAGCCAAGGTCCCCCCGACTCATCATTCTCTCCAGGAGGTCCCCAGGACTCGGGTCGCGGACCACCTCTGGGCCCATCAATTGGAGGCGGTTCATTGCAACCCGGAGGCCAAGAAGCTGGACTCTCCGGCCCGCCTTCAACTTTTGATGGATCTAACAACTCCCTGGACCCGAGTGGCCAAGACGGCTTTACGGGGGCCCTCTCTGCCAGGGCGGAGACTGAGGGGGATATCAACGAGTCTGGTCTCGTACACCTTTCCCGACATGAGGGTGAGAAGGCTGAGACTTCCGATCCGGCCTTAGTTCACTTATCCCGGCGTCAAGATGGACAGCCGAAGGCTGATAGCTCGGGCTTGGTGCACATTTCTCGTCGCGAAGGAAATCAGGCTGAGACTGATGACGGCGGGCTGGTTCATCTTTCCCGGCGTAAGTAGACGATAGAGAACATGAAGTAGGAATGGATAACTCTTTACTTAACGGGTAGTTAAATAACCACCTCCTCCCACTAATCTGCCACCCAAAAGTGGGTCAATGTGGCGCATCGCCGCACACAACGTCCGGCCGGCCCCAGTGCACAAACGAGACCCAAGGCACAAGGCCCAAGGCACACAACGCAAGTGAAGCCGGCCGCGATGCACAGAACACATAGAAATGCCACTTTTCTAGGAGTCATTAGACCCGCATCGTCAATTCAAGAGCACTATAACTACAAGGGCTATAAAGGGCATTCCTCCGCCATCTCCCTTAGCGCAAGGGCGTTAGCCTCATCAAGCCGCTCCATCGTATCAAAGTCACAGTCGCCTGCCAAAGGGTCGTCTTCATCCTCTGCTTCTTCCCAAGTGAAGGCATCGTGACCCGCTGTGAGGTCCACTGTGAAGCCGGCTGTGTTGCCTGCGTTATACGTACGTGGATTGTGCCCTGGGTCTCGTCGGCAAGCTCATTGTCAGAGTTATTATCTTGCCAGCTTCTCGGCGCAGCTGTGCCCGGCTCGTACGAATCGCCGTGTTGACGAAGGTATTCTGCCGCGTGCGGTGGAGGTTGTAGCAGCAATAGCAGCAGCAGCGGCTGGCCTGCCTCTGCCTTTGCCGGCGGCCTTGCCGTCAGCCTTGCGCTTGCGAGTGGATTTCTTCGTGCCCGGCAGCGCGGCCGGCGCTGTGGAAGGCGGCGATGCTTCGGCACGTTCAATAGCCTCAACGACCTCGAATTCGGAGGCATCGCGGCGGGTGGTTTTCTCGAGGTTCATCAACTCGGCCAGGAGGCGGTTCCGCCTTTTCGTCGGTAGCGGCAACGTTCCTCGGCACAGCACGGCATTCAGCCCCTATCTGTAGGAGTGGCCACCTAGCCAAATTGGGCCGGATTTTCGAGAACAGTGGCTGCAGCACTGCTATTGCAACCTTGTGGCCAGTGGCCTGCTGGTGACTTGAGATTTCCTCTGCCTGATGCCTCCAGAAGGCCTGTAGGCGCTGGAAAACAGAGGTCAGGTCGCCCGTTGAGGACCAGAGGAACCTCTTCATCGTAGAGTGCATGCCTTCTATAATAGAAGTAGTCCTATGGCCAAGGTGCCTATGCCGGTCAACGAAGCACAAGACGAACTTTTCCTTCCAGGGGTCTAGCCACGTATTTATAGCGTATGCCACAGCGGCCGGGGGGTGCCCAGCGGTCTTGAACGCCGGTAGCCGTGTGTTAAAGAGGTCATCTTCAGGGGCGTTGACGAGGCTGGCCCAGTCTTGGAGGAAGGCTGTGAATTCGGGGGCCCTGACGGTGCGGTTGCCTTCCTTCGTTGGACCAGGGAAATGGGCCTTCGTCTTCGCAAGGATATTCTTGTTGATATGCCAGCGGCACAGTAGGTGAAGCACTGCAGCTAACTCCGGGATAGAAAGGAGGGCATTCATAAGCGCAAGCTCCCGGTCCGTGACTATCACCCGCGGCAGAGGAATTCCTTCCTGTACAGCTAGCTCAACGAGGCACTGCAGGGCCCACTGGTAGTGACCCTCTGTCTCTCCTGTGAGGAACGTAGCGGCTATAGAGAAGGTCTTCCTCTCTGACGTGGAGCCACAGAAGTTGAGGACAGGCATCCTGAACCTATTGGTCTTATACGTACAGTCAAGCAGCAAGGCGTGCCAGAACTGACGCCAAAGGTTGATGCCAGAGCGCGGGGCCACAAAGAGGGCAGTTAGCCGATTCTCCCGTCACGTGCATCGCGAAAGAAGCCGAAGGACGAGTCTTTGAGAAGGTCATAGAGGAATTGTATGGGCGTACGATTGGCAAGTTCCTCGCGCCGGTGTGCCGCGAGGGCGTTCGCGATGTGTGCCCCCTGTATGCCGCCGAGACTAGGGTCTTCGTGGACTAGGCCACGAAGGTGTGCCGCGATGAGATATGGGCGGAGGCCGCAGTTGTATAAGTGTATTATATGCTTGCGGCGTTGGCTGATGACTTCGGCACGGAAGCCGCTGTGTGTGATAGCTGGAGTAAAGGGATGATTGTGAGGCTCGCACTTCGCGGTAGGCTGCACAGTCCAGCCGCCTCCCGCTCCAGGCTGCTTCTTAAGCCCAAGGGCGAACTTGCAGTCGGTGCATTGTGACGATGTGTTCGGCCGGCTCTTCGACTCGTGTACGCCTGGGTCGTGGTTATCAACGTACGGGCCGTACTTCGTGCAGACGAGCAACACATAGGTCGGCGCACGAGCCGAAGGCTTCGCATTCCGGCGCCTAAGGCCAAAGCCTATCTCCCAGCCTACGGTCTTGCAGGCACGAGTAGCCTCGGCCTCGGACTCGTAGGTGGTACCATGCCCCACCCCCCTTTCGGTAACACCCACCTTTCGGTAGCGCATTAGAAAATATCCCCACCAAAAACCATCAATTTCACTTACACGGATTCCAGCCAGCTTTGAAGATATTCACAAGCCGTCACTTGGAGTAGATAGTGGATTGATTGAATTCTACTTTTCGATGGTTGAATGTTTGTACAGGGTCTGCGGCCTGTGCGTACCTTGCACGCGAAATTACCATCCAACCCCTAATCTCCTTCCGCCTCCTGACGATGATTCTTCTCGTTATTCCTCCACCACATGACCAAAATGACCTTAAAGCGGCCTCGAGTATTTATACGGAGGATATTATGGCTAATGCGATAATTGATGTCACAAAAAACGGCTTGTCGCAGTACCGCGCCGCCCAAAAGTATGACATACCTCAGCAGTCTATTTCCGACAGACTCAAAGGCCAGGTAGCCCTGGCTGATCAGATCCAGCCTCGTCAACTCTTGAGTAAGTCTCAGGAAGCTCGCTTGGTTTCTTGGATCCTCCGCCAAGAGTCTCTCGGCTATGCTCCTCCCACAGTCAGATCCGCGCATGTGTGGAGGCTCTTATAAAGCAACTGAACAACGAGCGGACAGTGGGGCGCAACTGGGTCTCTAAATTCATCAATCGCCATCCGGACATCAAGAACAAGCGTGGGAGACGTCAGGAAGCTAACCGATTTAATGCTTTTACGCCTCGGGCGGTTCACTGGTTCTTCGATATCAGGGAAAAGGAGTATGGATGGATTAAACCAGAAAATACCGTGAATGTTGACGAAGGCGGTATTATGTCTGGCTTTGGTGAGTATTTGGCTTGTCTATCGCACGGAGGATGAGCAAGTGGGCATAAAGATCAGGGACTGGAAGACTCTTGATTCTGCTATCTAAGGTGGGAAAGAGGCGAGATCTTTATAGACTGCCTGAATATGAGAATGGAAGGAATGGTAGTGAATGGAAGCATCTGATCGGATCATCTGGAAGCCACTGATGCGTTGATGATGCCTCCTAGAAGTTTCTGTGGGGAAATGTGAAACGGACTGTGCGAATAGGGGGTCAGACTGTTGGAGGCTGATATCCTATGTGTGACATACCCCCCCAGGTTGTGCTGGCTAGTGGGCAGTGCAAACTGAAGAAAGAAACTAGATCCCTAGCAACGTAGAGTCTGATACCAAGGAACCATTGTAATTCCCCTGGTCTGTCATCGCGTACTTCCTCTTGAGGGCTGCAACCATCTCATCAGCTGCGTCCTCGTTTTCCTTGCGATAGAGGAAAACAATATCGTCAACGAAGAAGAAAACAGTGAGCCAGTCGTTCTGGAAGATGCAGGGTTCGTCGGGACACTGTGTAAGACCAAGCTCTCTGAATGCAGCAGTGAGTTCCTTCTGCCAAAGAAGAGGGGACCGTCGGAGGCCATAGAGGGCTCGCATGAGGCGAAGAGCCCATCCCTGTCTGTAGTATCCGTCTGGGAAGGCTACATAGACCTCCTCCTCGTCTTCTAAGAGGGCGTTTGTGAAGGCATTAACTGCGTCGAGCTGTCGGGTCTCAAGGTCGAATTTGGCGGTGATGGCCATGAGAATCCGGAAAGAACGTCCTGCAAGGGTTGCTGCATAGGTGTCCTTGTCACCTAGCTGTTGAAGATCTCCTCGAACACAAAGACGGGCTTTGAACTTTGTAAGAAAGCCATGCTTGTCGAACTTATACTTAAAGACCCAGGTAAGTGGCAAAGCTTGCCCGTGACCTGGTCTCTGGGGACCGCTCTGAAGGTTCCTCTCTGTTGGAGTGCTTTCACTCGGCGTGGGCTCCTTCTCTGAACTGAGGACCAAATCTGTGGGTGCGAAGTTCCTTATACGTCGTAGGTTCGGGAGGAAGGTGTCGTCTGTGAAGTTTTTTCTCTGCCGAGAAAGAAAGAGCTGTGGAATTGACCCTTAGTGTTGGTCGAAAAAGCACTGAGCTTGCGAGGCTTTGGAGTGCGGGCTGAGCGCCGTGGCTGAGAGTCACTCGGACCGGGGTCCGGTGTCGGATATGGGTGCTGAATGTCATGAAACTCATCCTGATCATCCGAGTCCTCGCGATCAGATGGTTCGGGTTGTACCACAATCGTGGTGGCGTCTCCTTGGTCTGAGGTTGAGGAGATTGCTCAACGGGGTCAGGTTCAGGTTCATCGATTTGAGTGGGGATTTCCTCGTAATCCGACTCGTCCTCGATGTGGGCTGGAAGCTGTACTTCCACGCGCTGTGGGATAGGTTCTGGTGGCTGATCATTTCCGTCATAGAAGATGCTTTCATTGAAGGTCACATCTCGGACCCTTCGGACTTCTGATGTGGACGGAATCCAGATCCTGAAAATGTTCGTGGAATCATATCCAACGAGATAACCGATTTCTGTGTGAGGGTCGGTCTTTAGGTCCTTCTTCTGTCTGTTCTGAAGGGCCTGGGGTGTCAAGGATAGGCTCTGCAGCCGTATGCCTTGAGAAACGTGATGTCAGGCTGGTCTTGCTGGTAGCCTATGTCTCTGTTGTTGTCTCGCAGCCACTGATGAAGCAGCTGGAAAGGCGTTCGGAAGCTGTGGTTCTGCATGGGCGATCTGTTGTGCAAAAACACTGCTGCTTTCCAAGTCTCTGGCCAAAGATCAGATGGTAAATTGGCATCAATTCCCATTGTTCTGGCCTGGGCAGATATTACCCCCAGATCGCTCTGCAGAGCCGTTTTGAGCGGAGTGTAAGGGGCAGAAGGTTCATCTTGAATCCCCTTTCCTCGATCCAGCTCTCATACGCACTCTGAAGAGAACGATCGTTATCACGGTGGATAATGCAAATATTGAGATTCCATTGGCGTTGAATCATTGCCTCATGGTTTCTCAAAGCAGTCATAACGGACCCTTGTGTCGCGTCATTCAGAAGGTAGATGAAGATCATGCTTGTAAATTCATCTTTGATAAGAAGAACAGCTTCCTTGCCGTTGAATGAGGTGTTCATACTGAAGATATCAACGTAGATTCTCCAGAATGGTCTGGGGCTCGGTTTTGAGGGTTCGGCGAGAGACGACCTTCTTTCCTTCCCAAGGAACACGCGGTGCAATCGATGGTAACTGGGCCTTTGATCTTCGAACCCGTCGTGTTCTCAACAAGACGCTCTAGGGCTTGAGCGTTCAAGTGGCCTAGGCGCTTATGCCAAAGCGTAGCATCTGCTGTTTTCACTGCGCGAGGTGCAGATGAAGATGTGAAGTTGGAGGCGTGAGAGTCCTCCTTAATCGGGTTGAACTCGATGACCGGTTGACGAAAGCGGCGTTTCGTATGAAATATAATCTGATCGTCTTTAGAGACGCGTCCAGATAGTGGATTCCAGTTGTATCCCTCGCAAGAAAGCGGTCGAGGATGCGATGTTGGTGTGGAATTTTGGCACGAAGGCAACTTCGTTGAGCTGAAAAAGTCCTCCTTCTTCAAGCTTCATACGGACTGTGCCGTAGCCAAGGATCTGAAGTTGACTATCGCCTGCAAAGAGCTCTTTTGGCTCTGCAAGGGCGGTGTAGTCAAGAAAACGGGATCGGTTGTTGCAAATGTGTGTGTCTGATCCGGAATCAAGGATAAAGGAGTCATACAGCGGGTAGACTGCCTTTCCCGTCGAGAAACTGGTTGATGGAGGTGTTGAGGAGGCGGTGTGTTGTCAGGAGCTGGTAGAAGACCGGCAAACGCTGTGCCTTTAACGGAGGAGTCGGACGATTTCTCCATTTCCTTCTTCTTGAAGTCTTGTGCTTTCTCCGTCATCTTCTTTGCCCATGGATTGGAGTCGAGGATTTCCTTGATCTTCTTCTCAACCTTCTGATCAGGAGTCCAGCCATCAGGCCGAGCTGATTTGATGAGATAGAAGCAATCTACGAAGCGGTGATATTCTCCGCAGACACACATAGGAACACCATCAGCGTTCTTGCTTGAAGACCACTTAGGCTTGTCCTCTTTCCTCTCCGATTTCTCTCCTTGCCTTGGAAGGCAGCTCGAATGATCCTTTGCTGTTGTTGGCGGCCTTGATTCGGTGAGCTCGTTCAAAGATCTCACTGATCTTAATGCCGTCCGGGAAGTCGGTCTTCCACTCAGGCTTGCCGAATACGGCCTCGTCTTCCATTTTGTTGACCCAATAGTCTGTGAATGGGGCGTTGATGGACGAAACAGCCTGTAGGAAATCTTGGGTAGGGCGAAGGTCCTGGACATCAGGAAGCCCTAATTGCTTTGCCTCAGTGAGGACTTTCTGCCATTGGGTGACCCAAGCTTCGATCTTGGTCCTGTTTGGCGACTGAAGGGTGGAACGATAACGCTGAACAACTTCCTCTCGAGTGCCCAGTCGGTTGGGGCCACACGAGCCTGAAGCAAGGCAAGTTGCTTTGCAACGTCGTGTTCCTCGGCAATGGTGCTGTAGTAGTTGCCGATGGTCTTGACGATGTGTTGTTGAAGGCTGGCGAGTGCCTTCACTTGATCCCTATACCCTTGAAGCTTCGAGCGGTATTGGGTGTGGAGGAATTCGAGACGGCGAAATTCCTCCGAGGTCAGATCCACGAGATCAGATGCTTCGTGGTTGATTTGTCGGAATGTTGGTTCAACTGGCTGCTGAAGAACCGGCTTACCCTCCTTGACGGCAGGGTCCAGAAAGTCCCAAAGACTGTGGGACGTGGCGAATTTCTTGATGATAGAAATCCATTGTTTCCAGTCGCAAGGGCCGTTGAGCACGGTGCCCTTGGAAGAGCCATCAAGATCTAGAGCTGAGCTCATTGTGGAAGCTATTCTGCGCAGCGGAGTGAACAAGAATAAGATACCCAGTCAGTGGCAGACCGGGCTCATAACTATCGCACGGAGGATGAGCAAGTGGGCATAAAGATCAGGGACTGGAAGACTCTTGATTCTGCTATCTAAGGTGGGAAAGAGGCGAGATCTTTATAGACTGCCTGAATATGAGAATGGAAGGAATGGTAGTGAATGGAAGCATCTGATCGGATCATCTGGAAGCCACTGATGCGTTGATGATGCCTCCTAGAAGTTTCTGTGGGGAAATGTGGAAACGGACTGTGCGAATAGGGGGTCAGACTGTTGGAGGCTGATATCCTATGTGTGACATTGTCTTTCATTACTTTTACTAACCAGACTCTTTTTGCCAGGTTTGGATAGTCTTGTGGTTGGGAGTGCAGACCCAAAACGGAAGGCCCTTCTGAAAGGGCCACAGTCCCGCAACTGGACCTCATTTATTGAAGCTATCACCGCGGACGGCCGTGTCCTTACCCTGGCATTATCTTTAAGGGCAAAGAGCTTCAGAAACAGTGGTTCTTGACGGAATTCGGCAAAATAGCCGACTGGCATTACATAACGTCGCCCAACGGATGGACGGACAACCATATCGCTATTGAGTGGCTTGAGAGGGTCTATTTGCCCCAGACGCGACCAGCCGATGCCTCAGATGCTAGACTGATCATATTAGATGGACATGGAAGTCATGCAACGGTGCGTTTCTTTATCCACCTCTGTAGGAATTACTGTTAACCGAGACCAGGATGCATGGATGGCCACATGCTTTTTGAACAACGTTTATTGCTGTTACCTTCCTGCCCACTGCTCTCATGGCCTCCAGCCGTTAGATAACGGTGTATTCAATGCCTCCAAGGCAGCTTACCGGAAAGAACTTCAGAAATTGACCTGTTTGACCGATTCTGCGCCTGTTCATAAGGTCAATTTTATACGGGCATATGCTAAAGCGCGCGAGGTTGGAATGACGGCAAAGAATATATTGTCCGGCTGGAGGGTCACTGGGAATTGGCCGATCTCACGATCCAAGGCATTGCGGCATCCAGAAATTCACGCGGACATTGTAGAGACGTCTCCAAAGTCCGCGCCATTTTTGGTTCTGATGATACGCCAAGAAACAGCCGCCAGATTCGCGATTTCGGAAAGAACAAGACTCCTGGCACCCGGAGACGATACGCCGTGATAGCTAGAGGCTTTGAAGCCCAAGAACAGACGCTTGCCGAGCACAGCAACAGAATCGCGAAGCTAGAGGAAGAAGTGGCCCGGCTGCAGAGAGGCAAGAAGAGGAGAGCAATTCCGAACCCGAACAGACGGTTCATGACTCTCAGTGAAGCTTTGGTGGCTGAGGAAGCCATTCCCCAAATTAAAAGCCAAGAGATAGCCGTTGTGCTGAATTCTGACACAGAGGAGGAGGCGGTCTCAGAGGTGGAGACAGCTTCAGTGATTGAAGTCAAGGTGGCACCGAAGCCCTTCCAGTCACCACCAGATCCGGGCGAATGGTAAAAAAGCGCCGGTACATATAAGAGCGTCCATTTCTCTACGGAATGATATATTTTTTGTGTTTATAATGTTAAGTTCTGATCATATTTCATGTAGTTCAAATGGTAGACTTTTGGTGGAGAATTTTTCAATTGCGCTACCGAAAGGTGGGTGTTACCGAAAGGGGGGTGGGGCATGGTAGAGAACACAGTGCTCATGGACTCCATAGCGGCGAGTGGTACGGTGACGTGGGTGGCACGGTCGTGACGGGGCGGCGCGGCGGTGATAACGGCGTTGCAACCGATTAAGGCGTTGTTAAGATATCGCGAAAAGCTTCACTTACGGTTGACTGTGTGATGTTGCGCGGCGTGCCTTGTGTGCCAGGGAGGTTTTTGCGTTACGCCACCTTTACCTTAAAGGTGCGCCACATTGACCCACTTTTGGGTGGCAGATTAGTGGGAGGAGGTGGTTATTTAACTAGGCCCTCTAAGAAACGTTGGTTCCACAGGCTGGCACTTACATGACGCTTGCCTTCATGCGAGACTTGTCGGGGAACTGCCCTCGGGTCACCGAATCATGCGATGTGTCTCGACGATTCAAACAACATCGGATGTGAGCGCCCCCTGCTACCTTTCAACACGGGTCCAAGTCTAAGTGAGTGGGTCAACTCGGTCGTGAGCATATTGCGGCGAGTTGTTCGTGGCGACAGAATTGCTCAAGCTTTCACGCGGTCGCATGTGACTTGAGCATACTGAAAGATGAATCGAGGCGCCTCGCTGAAACCTTTGTCTGGGGTTGACTGTTGCTTTCTTGCACGCTCTACCATAAGAGTGATGAGTGATTGCCCCTCCTTTTCCCTAGGTTGGGGTGCCGTACGCCGGAACAGCCGCCAATGCATACTCGGCTCGCCGCTGTTACTGCCATGAGAACTGTAGTCGTCTGCGGTGAGCTCGTCCCCCCCACAGTTTGGAATCCGATTGATGCTTCGTTTGTGGAGGTAAGTAGGACATATCTGGATGTCTGGACACTCCCTACAGCGTTAATGCTAGGGCGAGACAAGCGGGTAGTCCTTAACGAACCCTTCTGGGAGTCCGGGAAAGTCCTTTGGGACATATCTCAGCGACTGGTGGAAATCTGCATGAATTAACTTGTAACTGGACAGGTCATACATGCAAGATGGTTTCCACGGAAGGCATGGGTTCTTTTAATGCTTTTGGGGGCACCTTTACGTCGCGCTTCTAACCATAAAATGATTACTTGGAGCGTTTGCATCGACTGGGTGTGGCATCTGCGTGTGGCCCAAACCTAAGACGCTTACATTGAAAGAATTAGTCGTAGGCAGAAGGCGGACAGTGATGTAAATTACCGTCGGTCTGACTCAGTACCCTCATGATAAAACCAGGTGCTCCGTCGACTGTTCTGTACCGGATTTTATCACTACAGACATCTCCATCTCCATCTCTCTATCAACCCGTTTTCTCTGGTGCTCTTTTATCAGACTGTCAAGAGGTACTGCCGGCATAATTAAAATCACCAGGCAAAGTCCACACTGACCTCCAAACTGGTGTCTCACCCAACCAGTCCCAGAACACACTAGGAGCACGGATGATGCTAAGAACACCAATCCGCTTACTGCTCCCAACCATGGCATCCCCTGGTTTGACGTCGGCTGCTCTGGCTGAGGCCGGTTAGAGCGTCGGCCAAAACGACGGAAATACTGTGTCTTCCTCCATATCGTTATAACCATGACAACGGTAGTTAAGTGCGACACCATTGGAGCAGCCCACCAGTATTCGACGCCAGATCGCCCGAATTGCCAGACGGTCGCCCCAATAAAGGGAAGGCGGAAGACTAAAGCTAGTCCAAAAATGATGATTCTCGCCCGATTGGCGGCGGGAGAAAAATAGGCGTCAATCAAGGGATCGACAACTTGAATAAGCTTTAAACCAATGAGTATGTTGGGGAGATAACTAGACGGGCTGGAATAGAAGTACCTCGATGATGTCGACGCATAACATGGTGACTCCTTTCCAGGCCGTGAAGAAGGGGTAGGCAAGGACGCTTGGTAAGAGTGCATTTCTCGCACTGCCGAACAAAGAGGCAAATATTAGTCCGGTTCCCAAGAAGAGAGAGGCCGTAGAAATTAACGCCCAAGTTCGCCTACGCGAAGCTTCTCGTGGCTTGACTCTGATCATCCAGTACAGGTAAGGGTCCAGCATTGCATACAACCTGGTTCATGCACCTTGGCTTGCATGCGTCTAAGTCCGCCTTGAATAGGAGGGTTCGATCGCCATGGACCTGCGCAGAGGGTAACTTGCCTGAGTCTGCAGTCAAGATGAACGTGGCCGTGACGACACCATGAGCTCTCTGGTGGAGATGAGCCAAACAAGGAAGGTCAACGACACGAGCAAAAGGCGTCGTTGCTCCATTCCACATTGGGGTTTGTGAGACAACAGCGCGGCTCTAGGAGGGCATGACTCTCAGCTGTGACGATTCCGCAAGATGAGGTTCGCACTGGCTCGTAGAGCCAAGAACCTAGCTCTCACCTGGTCGTCCCTGATCGCGGCCTCGTTGGGGCCGTTGGTCGTGAACGCTAAGGAAAGGCCGGATTGTCAGGTCGGGGGAGGAACACAGGACGGATTACCGAGATGGAAAAGATAACTAGTTACGTGGCGATGCCTCCGGCTTATTCGTCTCCATAAGAATCATCTCCATCGCCCTTTCTAAAAGTGCTCTGCCCTTATCACTGTCCAACTCATCAACTGAACACCATCCTTGACCTTCCATAAAAACCGCGCTCGCACCGCAAGTCGCTAGTTTGACGATTCTCCTGGTCTCTTCCTGCCATGTTTCGCGCATACTTGTTTCCATTTCGGCGGTGATGCTCTTAAAAACCGGGATGTTCACTCCCACACCCAACCTGAAAGGCCCCCAAAAATTTCTATTCTCACTGAGCTTTCGACACTCCCAGTAACGGAATAGAGATGCTTTATCTCGAAGGTCGTGGAACTTGCTGCGGAATGTTTTGTCCTGCATACACCTCTTGCAAGTTTCGGTGATGATCTGAAACGGTTGAACTCCAAGTTGGCACGGCTCGTCATGGCTGCACCTCTTCTGATCAACATCATTGAGGTGACCGCACCTAATCGAGCATGGGGTGACAAGATGTGATGCCATCGTCTTATTGCAGGTAGCTTGACTTTGTTGAGTCGCAGAAGACTTAGAAGACTTGAAATGGTGAAGACTTTATCGCCATTCGATGCCATATATACCAGAAATCCAGCTCCGCAGGTGCCTGCACACTCTCTGCGCCTACAATGCGAAGAAAAGCCAATAATACTTCACCTGAAATCTGTCGCAGGTCTTAAAGTCTCACTACTGTGCTATGTCGTTGGCCATGTCACCTGCAGCGTGTGCAGGGTGCAAGCAAGCCCGGTACAGGATCGATCAGGCCTGGCTTATGTTACTGTATGGCTGTGTCCATATATGCGCCATTTTATAAACCCTGCTCCGTAGCTGCCACTTTCTCTGCGCCCGACGCTTCAACTAGAAGCTGCCGCAGGATTTGAAGTCTCAGGAAGGCGTTTAGACCGGGCCAGGGCCACGCATTCATGTTCCCTGACACTTGTTGGTAGGGGGACATGCCCTTCTAACCCCTGCGAGCTGGACCACGGATGCATGGCCCCTGTGATTACGAGGAACGGTTCGGATGGAGCCCAGCCTGTGAAATGGATGGTTTTAATTCGCCGGGAGGCTCTAAGGTTATGCCCAATAGGGCCTAGACGTCTAGCTGATTGCGCTTCCTCTTTTGTCTCGACCGCCCGCAAGCCCTTCCTCGCTTCCTACGCTCTGCATCCCTTAACCTCGTAATGTCAGTGATAGGCCCGCCACTTTCTCCAAGTGTTCGGCATCCTATCCTCAGCAGCTGAAGCGTGGTCTGTCGCTGTGTGAAACTTTTTGATGCTAGTGTTGCTCAGTCTGCATAGTCACCTCGACTGCTGCCCCTGCTCTCTGTCGAGCCTTCCCGTCGCGATTGGGAATTTGATCGCTGCTCACTGCTCTCGTCTAGCGCCCAATTCCCGGGTCGTGCACTGCTTGTCCTTCACAAAAGTACGACAGGTTTCCGATTTTTGTTCTCGCGCATTGCAGCATGATCTCGCGTTCCGCCATCCATTTCTTGCATCGGAAAAGAAGATGCTCCCTTGACCGCGGTCGTACAAAGCGGACTCCGTGAGCCCGGCCCATGTTGCCCACAAAGAGGCGAGATGGGGATCATGATAACCAAGACACAGCGGCCACAGTTGCATCGCCATTCGGGGCCCATTTCTATTGGCACACAGACAAGCCGAGATGCATTCGTCAAGCAGACAGTCGGTGCGGGCCAGACGCGCCAGGCGGAAGGCCGATAACCCGGATATAATTCCGGCTGCAAGACTCGAGTCAGCATCCCTTGCGTCTTCTCCAACCGAAGGTGATGAAGAACACAGCCGCGCGTACGCCCGCCTCGGACGGAGGCCAGCTGTCTGTCAGGGTTGTCGAGGGTGTACGGATCGGCCGTCCGCAAGGCGAAGCGGCAGTGCCGGGATGAGGCCAAATGAATCCATCGGGCATGCGAGTCGCATGGAAAATGAGTGTCGTCGGAAGCAACGTTGAAGGTAGCACTCCAAGATGTTGGTGGACTATCCTACGACCCATTCAGCCAAAAGAGGGAGATGATGGACTGGGAGAAGTGCATGTAGTTGAATGGTTGACGCCAAGGCCATCACATCAAGTTGCTTCTGGAGAAAGTTGTCACCAGGGGTGAAATCTTGCGGGACGGAGGAAGAGGGCACGCCGCTTCGGCCGAGAGCAGACTCCGAGGAAACGTATCCGAGCCAGGACTCGGAGGCAGAGGACGACGGGGCTGCAAGTTGAAGGACTAGCTAGCTTCTTGCGTTTCCTTGAGGAAGAGCCTGTTCAGCTGGGGGTAGACAAGGTGCACACTAGTGCCGCACAAAGGAAGGCGTCGACGGTACGTGGCTTTTGTCAGGCCTTCCGCGATGCGAACACGGCCAATACAGACTAGCATGCTGTGCTACCGCAAGCGGACAAGAGTAGAGTGGAGGGAGATAGCATTGGCTCAGTGGCTGTCAATTTGTAATCCTAAGGGTGCTAGAATTGCTTCCCTAAGGACAGGTGAGTAACGGTCCGTGCAGAGTGCACGTGATGCTTGAACCGAGGTGGCTTGTTGTCGGCGGCCTCAACTTCATAGCCACCTTGGCTATGAGCACTTGTTCCCGGACGAGCTCAAGGGCGTTGCGCTGGTAGAGAAGTTGATCGCGGTAAACTCGTGCTACGGATTTGCCACACGGCGTATAATCCCGGGCGAGTAGCGGCAGGCCGTGAGGTAGCCAAACCACGTCAAGGTCACGTCATGGTGTCCCCAAACAATGTGCAGCAGCTGGTGACGAAAAGTGCTGCTGCACCCGCTCTTGCACGTGTCGTGGCAGGGGGTGGAAAGTCAACTTCAAGTGATTTATCGGGTCTCCTGTCCGTGAGGCGGCGAGTTGTTGAGGGTGCGCTTGTTTGGCTGAGGAAGATCAATCCTCGCTATGCCGAGATCGAGGTCAACTCGGCAGGGATGATAGTTGGGACCGCACAGGGTGTCGTCGTGGGTGTACGATTGCCTAGAAAGGGCTGCACATCGCCAGCTATACTGTCCCTCCTTAAGCGCATATTCTTTTCGATGGCCTGTCGGATCTCTCCGACTTCCGCCTTGCTTCTGTCCTTATATTCGACTCTGGACGTATCAAAAGTACAGTACAAGGTCTCAGTGGAGGCGCTTGGTGCTGTGCGAATCAACGAAAGGGTGCGGACGTTTGTCGCCTGGCTCGGGGGTGATGTGTGGCCACATCTGCGTATGACATTCGTGGACCGGTCTGGTGGCTCGCGAGGATCGGCTACTCGCGATCACATTAAGCTTGTCGCGCATGTGCTTCAGTTCATCGCCTGTCTCCTTGACTTGTCGGTTTAGTTCTTGGATGATTTGCAGCTGTCCAGTGCCGCTGCTGCTGACCTTTCGCGGCTCGGTCGTGCTGTTAGCCGCAGCCTCGTCCAGTGTCGCTCGCGTCGTGCTTCTGGCGCTTTTCACTTTCCTATTCGCCGGGTCTTCAAGCTGTCGTGCGGTGTTTCGGACCTTGCTCCTAAGCTTGACTCGACCTTTTCGTGGGCGTCGGAGTGAAGGGCGCCCTGCCCCACCATGATGACGGCCTCCGCCCGCCCTTCAATATTCACCAGAGTTGATAGCCGGAAAATATTTTCCCGGCCTTAGGCGCCAGCCCGATTGTTGCACAACCGTCACCTTCAGGCACCGATGGACCTTTCTGTCCATCAACCTCTGCTGCACAGTTCTGCTTATGGCGTCAACGACATTCTCTATTGAGGACGCAAGGAGATTCCTTCTTGAAGATGGCTTCTACCACTTGTTGGACCCGGAACAGCAGGAACATAAAATGGCCATGGCGCAGGAAGACTTTGCCCTGTCGTCGGAGTACGGCCTGGACTTTTGCAAGCTCAAAGTCCTTGACGACTTGGTCAGTAATGGCGAGACATCCTGGTGATATTTACCTAACTCGGATAAGCGCATTCGATCAATCCTTGAGGCCTTCTTTGAATGGTCCGGCCTAGGACTCTATCTACGATACAGAAGAGATCCAGGTCACATATTCTCCTTTAGGAGGGGTGGCGCAAAGGCTGGTTTGCGCGTCCTGCTTGTTCAGGTGTGGAGCAAGGGATCTCGAGCGGCATTCTACAGCGGTTCACATTTGCATTCGTTACCTACCGTTCGAGCAGCAAACGACTTGTTCGAAATACCATCTGCTGCCTTGAGGAGAGTAGGCTGTGAAGGCAAAGAGACTGAATTTTCGAATGGCGGCTTGTGAGTTTATCCGCCGCCGCCGCCCCGGCATTTACGTTCTGACGTTCGTTTAGAGTTATTCTCGACGCTCGACTGTCTTTCGAGATCAAGCAAGGCTCCGCAACCATGTTTGCATTTACAACCAGGGACGAACTGGCGACATGGGCTAAAATGATCCTGCCGAAGTCACCGGGCTTGGCGCAAAAGGTCGCCGAAATGGAGAGCACAACTATCGGCGTAAATTTTGCATTTGAGGAATGAGGAGTGAACTCTGAAGACATGGCTTAACAGAAAAAAGATTATTGCTCTTGGTACCCTGCAGCTTCATCCTGGAATTCAACACCATTGTTTTGCATACTTCGAGACCGATCAACTGTTGGAAGCAAAGGTGAAGTCATGATGTCTGTATGAACTTGATCCAACCCCCCCTGGTATTGCTGCGCCGTATGGTTTGGCGGAAAGGTCATGTTCCAGAAGACGGGAGCGCTATAGTCTTCATACGGTTGGTCCAGAAGTTGCGAAGTCCGGTACAAGGTCGGCACTGGAATATTTGCAAAGTCGCCGATAGCCATGGCCTCATCACAGCTAGCCGATGGCCTAAGAGTGGTGACTGATTGCATGGAGTTGAGGACGTGGCCACGGCCCGTGCCTTGTTGGACGTTAGAACGCTGGCGAGGAAAATTCCGGAAAGAGTTCCATACCTATGAGGTCATGGAAAGGAGCTGGTGGCAATGAGTTCCTAATTTTCTCATCGACGCTGTTAGTTTCTGCTCTTGTCCTGGTCCTTTGAGCCCTCGAAGTCGTCGGGCTCAATTCCATGTTTGCGACATCCAAAGATCGTTTCTTGGTCCTATTTTCCCCTCTTTTTGATGGATGCCGAGATCCTGCAAGTAAAGGACGCAGCTCATCATCGACCCGTTTACGGAGCCCATCGCAGATCTGGGCTGTATACGAATATTTTGCCTCATGCCCATCTCTATGGCTGCTTGCATGCCCAATGTACTGACTCGCCCTGGTGAAAACTCGGAAGCAATACACGCATACTTCTTCGCACCGAACGTCTGCGCTTGGAGTATTAGCAATCCGCCTATCCAGAAAATGGAACGAGTGTTACGTGTTGCAAAGTGCCGCCGAAGTCTTTTCTTTTGTCGAAGGGCTCGTTTCGCCTGCAGTCTTTGTAGGGGCAGTAGTGTGATCGCGACCATGCGATGTTCGTCGCTGCATATGCTACTTCACCGTCATCGTCCTCTCCGTCGCAGTTATCGCCATTCCCATTATCGTTGCCATCATTTCCATCACATGGCGTATCGTAGCTATCGATGAGCTGACTTGAGTGGGCTCGACATTTGGCGATCTCGGCTGATAGAAAGCTTTCCTTAGACTGGAGAAAGATCAGCACGGCCAGTGAAACGGCTAGAGATAACTTACTCGATATCCTTCAATATGGGTGCGTAGCTCCCTGTTTGTTGGAAAGCAGCCCAAGCAAATCTGACATTGTCGCTGCTGATAGATCTCATCCGACATGTTCTCGTCAATTTTTGGAGGACGAAATGGCAAGACAGTCAGCTGGGCAGAAAATTATGTGGAGGATACGGGGTATCACATGTTGCCCTTGTGGCCAATAAGCAATTTGCTGAGGTAGCGAGCTGACAAATTTCCCCGCCTTTAGGTTTCTCCACCTCTCATGTCGGGAAGCATTCACCCTTTTGATATCCTTGCTAAGAACTATTTGACTCGCCTTGACTCGCATCTGCTTACAACTGCCTGTGCCGAAAACGAAAATGTCCAAATGTTCCACATGCGCCGGTCATGGCGTGGTCAAGGGAATCATATGCCCTGATTGCGGCGGGAAGGAGAGACCGTGAAGTGCAGGCGGGCATCATCTTGTAGGTGAGCGCGTCTGGAACGCACGACAGCCGACAGATTACCGCTTCGTATTTTACTAATTCATCTGTCAGCATAATCACGAGCCAAAAGAGCAAGAGCAAGACGAGCGGAAAGACGAACAGCCAGAGGAACAGCCAGAGGAACAGCCAGAGGAACAGCCAGAGGAACAGCCAGAGGAACAGCCAGAAGAGCAGCTAGCCAAGCAGCAGGACGAGCCCCTTAGAGCAAGACTACCGACATGCAGCAAGTGCCACACAGAAGGTCATAGGAGAGGTGCAAATGTTGCCCATTAAAAGGGTAGCAGTAATCGTGCCCGCCCCCACTTTATTGGGATGATGATGATGATTTATTTCGCCCGGAGGATATTTCCTATAATTAGGGCCTAGACGTTTTTCAGCTATTGACAATTCAAGACATTGATGCATAACACCCCAAGCCCCACGGATCATCTTGCATTGCGCCTACTGTTTTTCCAGTCCATAACAAGCCGCTGTAGTCTCTGCCGTTGTGGACCCTGTCGTTTTTGGTCTCTGTCGTTGTGCTCTCTGTCGTTGTGAATTTTTGCCCCTCGCTTCCGAGAATTCCTTCTCTCAGTCTTTTATCCTTGTGACGCTGTCCCTGTTGACGAGTGGGAACCCGAGTGTACCCTGAAGAACAGGGGTGCCTCCAGCCGGCTTCGAACCGACCTCTCCGCAATACAGAGACTCCAGACGTGTCACCACTACGCCATGGAGGCACTTTATTGGGATTCGCTTTGGCTCACCCACAATCCCAATAAAGTGGGGGCGGGCACGATTATGCCTTGAGGAACGAAGAGACGAAAGGATCCTTCTTCCGCGCCCTTCGCCACACCTCCACATCCTCTACCCCTTACGCACGGACCGCATGCCGCTCCGTGCCCACCAGCCACTCTTCACCGCCACCTGTTTCTTGCCCCACCAACTTCCTGTTCCTGCTGCCCGTTCCCGTCCCGTTCCCGTCCCGCTCATGCTCCGGTCCCACTCCCCGGGGCCAACTCACCTTTTACAGCCATCACCGTGCACCATGCCACGAGAACACCCCGTCACGGTCTCGCCCGAGGAAGTTCGCCGCACTTTGGGTGATCTTGAATCGCAGAGATCCCAGCAGCGCCGTTCCTGTCAACGACCTTCACCGCTTATTAGGGTTCCCCACGACGAGATCCTCCGCGTCTTGCACGATATGGACCGCCAGCGCGCCGAAGAACGAACCCGCCGCCGTGAAGCTCAATTCCAATATACCGCACACACGCAACAGCCGAACAACCCATCCCCGAGACGACCCCGAGAAGAGCAAGCGCCCTCCACTCCACCCCCAACGCAGCCAAAACACTCCCGTACAAGTCACACGCAGCTGCCAGCGACTGCATCACCGAGACGACCTAGAGAGGGGCAATCACCCCCCCTCCACCTCCCACGCAGCTAAGGCGCTCCTTCAAAAGACACACGCAGCCGCCGGCCGCTCCATCACCGAAACGACACAGAGAAGAGGAGACACCTCCACTCCACCCCCACGCAGCCAAGGCGCTCCTCCAAAAGACACACGCAGACGCCGGCCTCTCCATCACCGAGTCGATCCAGTGCGGAACAACCGCTTCGCCCTTCATCGCTCACACGGGCGGGCGCTTCCCACGAGGCCCGGGCCTACGCGAGAAACCGTTCAGCTCCAACGAGACTCCGTCAAGTCTACGCTACATCACTATGACGCCTGTTTCCGCTCTAAAGAGCAGGCATCATCGACAAGATCCTGGTGCAACGAAGTTCCAGTTGCCCTCCAGGTAGAAGCTGCTAAATCTTTCTACCAAGCGTTTACCGAGGAACGGACGTTGCCGGTGTCCCACTGCGTCTTCTGCTACAGGAAGACACCGCCTTGCGAACTCGCCACCATGCAGTGGAGGGATCGCTTGTCGCCCTCCATGATGTGGGCGACCAGGACCATCCAAGAGTGTGGTGCGTGCCTTCCGTCACACCAGGGCGCCGGAGCTGACGTGTGCCGCGAGTGTCGCGTCAGCTTCGACAGTGGACGGCTGCCCAAGGCCTGCTCTGTCAACAACATGGCCATCGGTTGTGAGCATCGGTACCCCGACGAGCTTGATGACCTCTCTCCCGTCGAAGAGACTCATTGCCCTACATGCGCCTTTTGGCTATATCACCAAGTTCACAGTGGACAACAAGACCCGTTCGGGAATCAGCTACCGCAAGCACGTGAAAGGACATATTGTCGTCTTTCCGAACAAGGTGGACGATCTTGTTGCCACCGTTCTTCCCCATCCCTTGCTGCAAGCCATTGAGAATATCCACGTCTCTTGGAGCGGCTCGGCTAAGCCTGGCTCCGCAGACGTCGGACACCTGCTTCGGGTGCGCAAATCTCGAGTGGCAGCCGCCCTGGCATGGCTCCAGAGGAACAACCCGCTTTACGAGAATATCTCAATCAACCAAGCAGAGATGGACGGCTGGCAGTATGCCGATGGGTTCAGTGTTCCGACCGTCATCATGGACCGCATGCAAAGAGAGGAACCGTCGACCGTTGAGAGGACACAAACGGACCACATAGTCCCGAACACTGATCGAGGCTTGGCGGAAAACAGCTTTACAAGCATCGATGAACTCGTAAACTCCATCGATCCTATCTTCATCGCTGAATCTTGCGATTTGGACTGTGCTCTGTCGACTGAGCAGACTCAACCTTCCCCTGGTGAGCCGGCGACTCTTGTCCCCGACTCGGCCGCCATCGGCCAGGAAGTTGATCCTGTCTACGAGACGTCTACGTCCGGCATGTTTCCTCTCGATGGTCCGGCTGCCTTCGCCGAGACCGATAAACTGTCGTTTCTGGCCGACATCGTCAACGCCAATCCGGACCAACAGGGTACCTCTGTGCCATGCGTTATGCAGGTCCGAACTACAGGAGACCAGCCGTTTGTCCGAGTAGAGCGTGGTGCGGATTTTGCAGACAACCTGCACGAAGATTTCTTCCCTCGAACATTTCCGAAGCTTTTCCCGTGGGGAAGGGGCGGCCCGAAATCGAAGGGCGACTCGAGTCATGGCCGACAAAGCGACGCTGCCGACCGTCGTCCGAATCACTCTCTTCAATACTGGGCCAGATACGTATTGCAACGGCATGGTGGCCGATTCGCCACCCATCCTGTCTTTTGTTTCTTAGTATTCAACACCTCCTTCGCTCCTCCAACCGCCGCATCAGCATGGTCCGTGTCGCTAAAGATTCCTTCCGCAGACTTGAGCAGGCCTATGCGAACTTGACCGAGGACCGACTGAAGAGGGCCGAGGCGGAGATGCGGGAGACGAGGACTACGTCGGACCCCGACATATCGCTCTTGCTTCGCGAGCTGTCGATCTTTGGCCATGCACAGCCGCTCTCGAACGAATCCCGTTTGCTTATGCGGAGGAAGATACAAGCTCTGGACATCCGCGCCGGTATGCCTGCAATCTGGATTACCATCAGTCCCAACGACATCAATAACCCGGTAAAGATGAAGCTTGCCATTCATAGGCTCCACGATTATGAGTCTGCGAAGGAGCTTTTGGCCGATCTCCGTGAAAAGTACGACAGGATCGCCCTGAGCACCATGGATCCGGTCAGCTCGGCCATCTTCTTCCACCGAGAAATATCCCTATTCTTTGAAAAGTATGTGAATACAGGCCGGGAATCGATCTTCGGGAAGATCAGCCACTACTACGCCACCGTGGAAACGAACGAGCGAGGCAGCCTCCACTTGCATGGACTCCTCTGGCTGGACGGCAACATGCGGTTACCGAACCTGATAGGCGACATGGCCAATCCCGCGGAAGAAGCATATCGTGCCCAGGTGATCCGATACGTAGACTCCGTCTTTCATGAGTGTCTAGATGAAGATGCCGGGAAAGCCGTGCGACAGGAGAGGAAGCCCATCCACCCCGTGGAGGAGGTCATGGCTAGCACCTCGGCTCTCACTGCGGCCTTTGAAGACGAATCCAATTTCATCGCATACTGTTGCCAAGTGCACTCCCACACATACACCTGCCTCAAGTATTCTCTGAAGGGGTCATCGACCGGGGCAGATCAACAGAGACGGACAGCCTGCCGCTTCAAGGCACCGTGGAAAATCGTCGAGGAGACAGGGTTCACAGAGGATGGCTTGCTTCAGATTCAGCGCAACCATCCACTCGTCAACCGGTACAACAAGTCGTTGGCGGTCGGCCTTCGCCACAATCACGACGTCTCGATGATCTTGACCAAGACCAAGGGCCTGGCCATGGTGTACTACATCACGAACTACGCCACCAAACTGGATACGCCGATGTGGAAGCGCATTGCTCTCGCCGCCGAGGTTGCCCGCCAACTTCGCGAGGCCGGTCGTCCGACGTCTCGCGCGCCAGGTCCCGCCCTGCCCGACGGCAGGCAGCAGGCGGTATTGAACGAAAGCCGTCAATTCCTGATGAGAACGGCAAATCGCATCTTCTCCGAGCGACAACTCTCGGCTGTCGAGGTTTGTTACCACCTCCTTGGATATGACACCGACTTTACCAACGTGCCGCATTGGTCCTTCTTGAACTTGACGGCCCTATACTGGACAATCTTTCGGCTATGGGCGCATCTCCGCCATCAGGCCGGCGAGCTCACGGACGCCGAACAGCCCCCAGAGACAATCCCTCTGAGGCAAGGAGGGCGAACCCTATTATGCCTGGAGGCGTACGCCTACCGCGGTCATGTTCTACAAGACTTATGCCTGTATGACTACATGTCAATGATTCACTTGGTGCGTCGAAATGGTCGGAGTGAAGATGACTCTCACATTTTTCTCGATGGCCAGGATTCAGACTGTGAAGGCTGGATGCAAAGCTTCGACGGCCCGACCAGTACGCCGTCCCGATCTTCCAAGGATACATCAGCGACGACCACGAGGACGATCACCCAGTCTATATTAAGCGGTACGCTCTAACCCCCGGCACCGTTTTGGCTCCGTCTGACACTCTGTGTAGAAACTCTGTCCTACATTTGGCGTTATTCGTCCCTTGGGAAAACTTCATTTCTGAGAGCCAAGGCGATATAACCGGCATATGGACGAGGCATCGAGCGGGGCTTTGTCCTCGCCTCCGTTTCCATGTCTCCAATATTTGTCTTTTGAGAAAGTCTGCCGAGGATGCGCGCAAAGACGCGAAGCTCTGGGCCAGTCGATCGGAGGGCGACGACACAATTGACGTCGAGTACCCACTTGACGCTGGCCGCTGCGAAGAGGAGCCTCCAGCGATGGCTCATCGTCAGGCCTACAAAGCTCTACTCCAGATTTTGCGAAATGCCGTGCAGGATACAGACGCCACGAAAGACTCACCCGTCCTTGGAGGTTTAATACGCGATCTGTGCGAAGAGAACCCGGCTGAAGAGGAGCAACCTTTTGTGCAACGTCAGGAGGATTTGTACCGGAATATACCCCATGATCAAGGTGACGCCTTGTGCCAATTTCCAATATCTCGAGACGATGTCCAGGCAGCGGCCAGGGCCCAACAACTATTGCATCTTCGGATGCTAGACGACATTGAGGGTGGTTCTCAGGGGACCATGCTTTCCACGGACGGCGCCGACATCGACGATACCCTAGCTCGCTACGGCGATACGGAAACCACCATTGCGCACCCGGGAAGTGACCTCAATCAACAAGGGCCTCGAATGCTTGTCGACGTCAGTCCGGTGACTAGCTTCGCGGAGATGGGACACACCGCTGCAGCCACCTTCACACTGAACTATCTACAAACCGTGGCCCTTCAACTTGTTTGCGCATTTTTGGACAGGTATACCGCTAATCAGGACTCAGCCGGTCAACATCTTCAATATACCGGCGGGCCGGGTGGCACAGGAAAGTCGAGGATTATCGATGCCCTAAAGGACGTGTTCGCGGCGAGGAACCAACCACATCTTCTGCAGATAACCGGCACATCGGGCAGTTCGGCGGCCCAGATTGGCGGCACGACCATCCACTCGGCCTGTGGGTTAGATTCCCATCGCGATCCAAACAAACCGCCTCCCCCCTTTTCGGAGGCGAAGAAATGGATATGGAAACAGAAGCTGGTGCTCGTCATTGACGAGGTCAGTATGCTGGGAGGAGCCACTCTGCACAACGTCAGTCGTCACCTGCAGGCACTCCGTGACTGTCCGGACGAGCCGTTTGGTGGGATGCCTGTCGTTCTACTCATGGGAGACTTCTACCAGTTCGCCCCCGTGCGGGAAACAAGCCTCCTGATCATCAGACCGCCGGACCGAACACAGACCCCCCTGCGACAAGCCACCATCTCTCACCACAGCGGCTGCAGATTGTGGCATCTGTTCAAAACCGTTGTGCTCCTCGAAGACCAAGTCCGGGCACGCAACGATCCCCAACTTCGCGCACTCCTGGATCGAGTTCGTAACGGGCGCCAGACGCAGCAAGACCTCGACTTGCTCAACGAAAACATCGTAGGACGCTCCCAAATCACCTTCCACGATGGTTTGCGTGCTATAACGCCACTGAACCGCACCCGGTGGGCCCTCAACATGGAAGCTGTCGTGGGCTGGGCGCGCTTCAACAAGCGGCATATCCGTATCTTTGTCTCGACTCACACCTGGCGCAGCGGCACGCTTTCTCCAAACATCGTAGCGCGAACCATAGGACAAGGTGATGACTCCACCTGCAAGGTCCCCGGCGTCTTCTTCTACGCCCAGGGCATGCCTGTGGTTGTGAACAAGAACATCTACACCGGCCTGAAAGTTGTGAATGGGGCCGACTTTACTGCCGTGGACGTAATGCTCGATCCCAATCACCCAGGATACCACTTGGCGGGTGACGTGACCATCCACTTCGGGCCACCGCTCGGCATTCTCCTGCAGTCCGAGGAGACGAAGGCCTTGGCAATACCGTCCCTCCCGGTGGGGACGGTACTCATCCGCCCCGTGTCACATACACTTGATTCGACTAACTCTCACTTCAAATTCTTGTCGGCAAGATGCACGCGACGTGGATTGCCCGTCGTACCAGCGTTCGTCCTCACCGATTACAAAGCCCAGGGTAAAACGTTCGTGGAAGTACTGTTGGAGCTGCGTGGAAATCGTGTGACCAATGGTGAACCCTCCAGGTGCGATTTTACGAGCCTCTATGTGCAACTGTCCAGGTGCATCTCGCTTCGGGGCATCAAGCTTCTTGGTCCTGTGAGACACCATGATTTCATTGGCAATGGGCTGGATCCGGCCATAATTGATGGAATGCAGAGACTCAAGAACTTGGCCGCAGAAACGAGAGGGTTATACGAGGACCAAGGTTTCGAAAAGTAGTGGTAGTATACTAACCATCCTGATAGTTTGACCTTTTGCACGTCGTAACGCGGCAGGTAAACGTCCTACACTTCATAAGGTGACCGGACCGCACCCCAGTCGTCTGGATCTCGATCCTCCTTCCCAGAGCGCAAGTGCTTTTGGCTTTCACAATAATTCACCCACCATTTCTCAAACGCGTGGCGGCTGTAGAGCCATCCCGGCGGCCCGTCTCCTTCCTCGAACAGATCCAGGATATAGTCGCAAAACATCCACACACCTTCAAGATGCTGCGGATAAAATGGCTTCCCGTCCTTGCGCGTGACCACGACGGTGCCAACTTGTGACTGCCATTCTGGAGGTGCAAACCGGAGTTGGCTTCAATACTGAGATACGTAGCAATCTGGTTGTTCTCCGACAACGGTCCCGCAAGACCAAATAGAAAGACAAAGTAACTGTCGCGCCTGGAAGTCCCGCTGACGGGAAACAGGCTGAGCAAAGAAGTGCCTCTGAGCCGATGAAATGCTGGATGATGGTTTGTTTACGTTCTGCGGGAACAGATGGCATGGGTGTTTTCACGGTCTGTGGGCCGCCCTATTTTCACTGTATAAGTAGACTGTAGACTTCCAGCAGCTCAGCATGTCCTGTGCCCCGTCTCGGGGACCTGAGCGACCTGAAGGTCGCTGGACGAAAAATACACACACACACACACACATGATGCTTCACTTCGGGCCGCCGGCGGATCATTCTCGAATCGGAGACGACAAAGGGCCTCCACTTCGTCGGGATGCCGCCGGGCACGATCTTGCTGACGCCGATGAGCGTCAAGATAGACTGCCAACAAAAGCGGCCGTGGCAGCAGAACGACGTCAGCCGGAAGGGTTTGCCGTGCGCAGCAGCCTTTCGCGTGCACGGACTATAAGGTGCAGGGCCGAACGCTTGAGCGCGTGGCCCTCGAGCTGCGAGGGACACGGACGACGAAGATCGATGGAATGGTTGTGCCCTCGCAGTGCGACCCGTACAGCTTGTACGTGTAGCTATCGCGCTGCCGAACTCCAGACGGCATCATGCTCGTGTCCAAGGTGCGGGAGAGAGACCTGGTGGGCCAATCAGAGGCGGAGAATTCTGAGGGTGAAGCAAGTCTGGGGCCTTTTTTCCCCGCGCGCTAATGAAGTCCTTTCGTTCCTCAAGACATCGTTCCTCAAGGCAAAGGCACAAGGCAAGGGCATTCCGTACCCACACACGCTTGACCCTGGGCCATTCAATACTTACAGACTACTCTTTACTCGTGCCCGACCCCACTTTTTCGGATTTCGCTTCGTGTCAATCCGAAAAAGTGGGGGCGGGCACGAGTAGTTGATACTAGGGGGGCCTCAAAGTCGGCCAATCCCCGTGACAGCTCCACAGTCACGGGGGGGCGGTTGACCTAGAAAAAGCTCGTTGACCTGAAAAAAAACTGGGTACTTCAATTAGTGTGCACGCATCATACAATAAAAAGTAGACATGTTTAAGATCATATCTACCATAGTTACAATTCGACCCCGCATATACCCCCCTATGGCAATAATTCAGAACCCATTTCACGATGGCGTCATAACACTCCATTTTTATCGTCACGTCACTATCTCAATAGTCATCGAGGAAGGCCAATTCTTTGACTATGGCTTCTTCAAAAGCTAAAGAGTCTGCTGTCCAAAAATGGATCGATTCTGCTACCGGCTTACCCAACTTTTCGCGCCATACAACCGCAAACCTCGAGACGCGAACTATTGCAGGAGCAGAGCTCTACTACGAGGGCTTCTACGGCTCAATTGTGGCCGCGGCGAAGGCGCTTGGCGTGCCCTACAAGCGCCTCTATTATCGAGTCAATGGGCATCACTCAACGGCCGAGAATGGGGGCAACCGTGCCCTGCTTGATTCCTCGGATGAAGAGGAGGTATTTTGCGGGGCACATCGCCGCATCACACAGGGGCACCACATCCAGGGTCGTGCGCTCCAACAACACGCCAACGCCATTCTCAAGGCAAAGGGCGTGGGAGCTACAGCATCGCGAGCCTGGGCCAAGCGCTTTATACAGCGGCATAGAGAACTCTTCCACCGTCGAAGAGCAGCAGCGCGAGACATCAAACGGAAGGCTATGCAAGATCGCATCCACGTTGAGGCTTTTTTTCGCGGCTGGTCTCAAACGATCGAGAAAGACGAGATTCTCCCTAAGAACACCTGGAATTTCGACGAGACAGGCTTCATGGTGGGATATCTACATAAAGGCATATTTATTTGGACCTTCCGCGAGATTGATACCCCTATTTTATCTGACGCTCACGATACAGTGTCGGTCACAGCGATTGAGGCTATTTCTGCAGCTGGGAGTTGCATTCCTTCGTTTGTGATACTCCTGAGTCCAAATTCCTGCCCGTTGGGTTACCAACAGCCTTGACGACGATACCATCATTTCAACCAGCCAAAAGGGGTATATTAACGATGTCATCGCGATTGAATGGATCAAACACTTCGAGAAACACACGAGACCGGTTGATCCACTTCAGAAGCGGCTTCTACTTATGGATAGCTGTGATAATCACTATACAGAAGAGATGGTTCACTTCTGCTTCGATCACAACATTAAGGTCTTCCCAATGCCTCCCCATCTTACACATCAGCTTCAACCTCTTGATGTCGGCGTTTTTAGGTCATACAAACACTGGCATCAACAAGTTCTACATCGTGAGATTGCTGACGGGGCATATGACTTTAACAAGTCCGATTTTCTATATCATCTCCAAGAGGTCCGCACTCGCACCTTCAAAAAGCACACAATTCTCTCATCTTGGCAGAAATGTGGCCTCTTCCCATTCAATCCCGGGATCGTGCTCTCCCAGCTTCAAGACACGCTCTCGTCGCTCACAGAAGAAGTGGCCATTAAGGACCTGCCGGGCTCGATCGAAAGCGAGCCTCAGGGCGGGCCTCAGGCAGCAAGACCATCAACACCATCGCCACACACGCCGCCTCGATTCAACGATTCAACTGGAACAATGTTTCAACGCCGAGACTCAACCTCTCTACGATTCAGAGGTATCACGCCTACGTACAGCTTCGTCTAGCCACATCAGTTGACTCCCACATGCCGTTGACTCCCTCCGTCACATACGTCTATGAGAAGGCGCGGAAAGCCGACAAAACCCTCGCTCTCAACGGCATCACCGCAACGGCCGAGATGACGAAGATAAAAGAGAAACAAGCCAAGCGCTCCAGTCTCCAGCAACAGACAACTATTGTAGCGAGATACGGCCCATTAAGCGACGGTGACGCTAGAATTCGAGTCGCCCGAGACGAATACAATAGACAAGCGGCACAAGAAGAGGAGGCACAGAGAGTCAGGAATAAGGAGGTTCGCGACGAAGCTGGCTATATACGCCGCTGGCTTCGCAAGGTACGCTTCAACGTCAGGATTAGCATCACAGAGGCGAAGATTCGAGACATCAGAGGTCTCTGGGCCAAGGGCGACAAGCGCGCACACCTCAATTGCAATGAGTGGATGTGCGCAAGCTACAGGATTCTCCGCGAGCTACACAACCGCGGCGTAGGGCAAAGCAAGGCGATCATGTGGCCGGAGTACTATGATCGCGAGATTGTAAAGGAAGCAGCCGAATTAGTGGTGATGGAGGCAAATAAGCGTGCTATTTGCCGTCAGACGCTTTCCTTGGAAGCTGACGGCATCGAGATGCGATAAAGAGGAATCATAAGACGCGCTCGAGGCTGGGAAGGAAGAAGAAATCGAATAGAGCTCAATTCGATGCCAAAACACCAAAAACACCTCAAAGGCAGTATGGTGATGCATTTGCATTGCTATGACTAGCTTGCAATAAAGCGAACATGTGTTGCACTTATCGAGGGAAGAGAGGTACTTTTAAGTTCTAGCAAAATGGCGGGGCTCTTATGTACTTCTTTTTTTCCAGGTCAACGAGCTTTTTCTAGGTCAACCGCCCCCCCGAGACTGTGGAGCTGTCACGGGGATTGGCCGACTTTGAGGCCCCCCTAGTAATGGGAGTGGTTATCCGTACAACACATTTTGGTAAATGTACAACAAAGGCGGGCAGACGTGGCGCCACCTTTTCTATTGGCTGGCTCTATCCGCCACAGTACGCCACAGTCAAATGTATAGAAGGTACTTAGTACGTGCGCATCACCCGCCTCTCGCGCAATACGACATGGCAGCAGGCAGGCTATAGCCTTGTGAGGCTGCAAGCCGCCTGATTTGTATGGCCTCTGCTTGTGTGCCCTCTTCTTGTATAGCCTTGCAACACTCTGCAGGCTTCACAACGTCTGGCTGTTATGGCCTTGCAACCTCTGCCTGTGTGGCCTTGTGTAAGTGCTATGCCTGCATGCCTACGACCTTTGGCCATGTATTAGGTACACCCAAGCCACGTTTACTCCACTTTCTGTTGTACATTTACCAAAATGTGTTGTACGGATAACCACCCCTTGATAATACTCTGCTCCCTTTCATCCTTCCCCACGTGACCTAAGGCCACGGTCAATTTTGCGACCCCCTCTAATACCGAGGTTATGGCGTGCCCCCACTTCGAATCTAAGATTTTCCTGCCAGACGCATCCATGCCCAACCCCTCCTTCGCCACCTCCCCCAACCATGTCGTCGATCTGATCACGCCCATCCAAAGGACTCTACTATCCTTGGTCGCGATCCAAAATCGGGAGACTTTGTGCAGCTTGTGACGCTCAAATACTGCCGCCTCATCTTCAACGATAATCGTCGTTCGCCTCCAATTCGCAACGCTCTCGACCAGACCGCGCCGGGCGCCGAAGGCTTCCATCAGTCACGATCCTTAAATTTTGCTTTCTTGAGTGCAAAGATCAGATTCCGATGGTCTGTTCCCTTCTGTAAATCAGGATTCGCCTAACATGATCATCAGTCATTTGAGATACAAGATCTCACGAAAGACGAAAGTTTCTTCAGCGATGCTGGAAAACTCCCACCACAATTGATGGATCAGGCCAAATGGTGTACTGGAGGAACTCCTTCATACAAATCTATAATACTGGCGATACAAAAACCCCTACGAAAGCCCACGAGACCTGCGATGGGGAGGGGACGGTGCCGAAGGGCACTAGTCTTTTGTTTGGCGGCAGGGATGGGAGGGTGAAAGAAGGAACTTGAGCATCCACACCATCAAACATACAATTTCTTCCTGATCTGAATTCCTTCCCATAACCCCAGAGATGCGAAGATGAGAGCTCCGTCGTGAGCTTGGTGCGAGATTACCATTGATACGCAGTCTGTACTGTCGCGCCATTGCCTGGTTTCATCCTGATACAGAGGGCTTGCTTGTGAAAGGCCTCTAGTGAGTTGATACAACTAACTAGTCCCTATGCTGTTTACTATCAAGATAGAGAAGAAAGAAAGAAAGAAAGAGAATCTACTACATGAGAGCACAATAGCATTTTATAGCTTCGAGCCAATGGAAGGTTCTAGAAGCTAGGCGGCGCAGCCGCCGTTAAAGCAACTTGCCCGTTACATTACCTCCTCCTTCCAACGTTTCCTCTTCCGGGGTCGTGGCAATCTGTGGCAAGATGACTTGAGAAGGTGACACTCCTTTTATGCTTCTTCCATTGCTTCCATGCATCGGTGTGTCGAATAGTACTAAGGGGTTCCACGTAGGCTGCGAGTAATCATGCCATTTTACGAGCACCTTCTTATGCGTACCTTCCATTCTTTCATCCAGAATTCTTTCAACAAGGTACATCTTTTCGCCGTCCACCAGCACCGGTGGGGCACTCTCTTGATCGAGTTTCTGCGAAGGCAATGGGTCTCCGGGACTGGCCGGAGTAGGTCGACGTGAAAGACTGGATGGATGCGCCCAGGCACATCCAACCTGTAGGCATGTGGGCTAACTTCCGCGAGCACTTGATATTTGGCATGTAGCCAATCGAGCTTCTTGCAGGGTCGCGATGTTTTGACATTTCTCAAGTTGAGGTATACCCAATCCCCAGGCTCGTATCTCGGTGCGGCTGTCCTGTGCTTGTTGGCTTGCGCTTGCTGTATTTCCTGGGCCATAGCTATCGCTGCTTGCGCAAACTCCGTGGCGTCCTGTAGTCTCTGAATAAAATCCTCCGCTGTCGCTTCCCCCTGCGTCGTGTCTTCCGTTCTTCGATGCTCAACTAATTGGATTGGCTCGTTGTGGTAGCCGTGCATGAAGAAGAACGGACTCAGTCCGGTGGAGGTTGCTTCCTCTCGTTAATAGTCGCCATCGCGATTGGAAGCAAGTCTAACCAGTTCTCCTGCAGATAATTCGTCCATATCCGAAGAATCCTCTCTACCTCTTGGTTCATTCGTTCTGTTGCACCGTCGGTTTGTGGATGGTACGCCGTCGACAACCGCTGCTCGATCCCTAGCATCTGACAGAAACTTTTCCACATACCACTGACAAACTGGGGACCCTGATCACTGGTTATAGCCGTTGGGATGCCATGGACAGGGTAGTGTCGTTCGAAGAGTCTTCTTGCAACCGCTTCTGTGGAAATATCGTTCAATCCTTCGAGTTCGACGCCTTTGGTGAGTCGGTCCGTGACCACCATGCAGTTCGTCGCGCCATCTTTCCCCGACGGTGGGAGGTCAGTAATAAAGTCAATGGTAATTTCGCTCCATATGCGTTGCGGAATAGGAGCGGCTTTAGGAGTCCTTTCTTTGTATCCTCCAGATGGTGTTTCGTCCGCAAACCTCGCAGTTGCGCACAAACCGACGTACATCGCTAGCGGCACCCGGCCAGAAGAAGCGTCTCGACAGAGTCGAGTACGTGAGGTCCCTTCCAGGATGTCCGGTGATATGAGAGTCGTGAGTTTCCTGGATGATCTTTGTACGTAGCGGCTCCGAACCGGGTATCCAGACGCGTTCTCTAAAGCACAGCAGGCCTCTATTGTCTAATGAGCATTCTGAAATGCTGACAACCTTCTCCTTCTGTAAGTCTGTTGGCACACTCTTCGCTCCATCTGCTACCAGCTTCGTGAGTTCTTGATAAAGCTTGTCTTCTTGCCGTGCGGCGTGCCACAGCTGCTGTAACTCCTCATCTTCAAATATCCTGATCTCTTTTCCGAAGTTGATTTCCTGGGCACCCTCGGTGTTGGTAGACAATGTCGATATTGGGACCCTTCTAAGGTGATCATTTTGGAATAGCCTCATAATGCGTCCCTTTAGTCGTTCATCGGAGTAGTTGGCCGGCATATCCTGGTCCCGTCGAGAGAGTGCGTCAGGCAATCCGCCCTTGCGGCCCGGCCTCCATTCGAGCTCGAATTGGAACCTGGACAGGAACTCCGACCACCGCACTTGTCTCTCTGTCAACCTCCTTTCCGAGTAGAAGTACCTCAGGTTCTTGTGGTCCGTTAGGATCTTGAAGTGCTCTACTGCCCGTAGCTCTGGTTCCCACTGCTCCAAACATCTGAGAATGGCGAGTAGCTCCTTGTCATGGATAGCGTAGTTCGCTTCGGCTGCCGAATGTTTCTTCGAGAAGTATGCGACAGGTCGTACCAGTCCATCCTTATCATCTCTCTGCAAGAGCACGCCTCCCGACGCGAATCCTGAAGCGTCTGCTTCCACGATAGTCTCCTTTCTGGATGGAAGTGTGCAAGGATCGGGGCCGTGATCAACAAGTCCTTGAGCTTCTCGAAGGCTTCTTCGCACAATTCATCCCAACGGAATGGCACGTCCTTCTTCGTTAGCCGCGTTAGCGCTCCGCTATCACCGAGAACTCTGGCATAAACATCCTGTAGAAGTTCGCGAATCCAATAAAACTCCTCACGGACTTAACATTCGTCGGGGTTGCCCATTCCTTCACAGCCTCAACCTTCTCAGGGTCGACTCGGATCCCACACTCCGCCTCGATGATAAACCCAAGGTATTTCACAGCCTTGACTTCGAATTCACTCTTGTTGATATCCAGTTGCAGCCCGGCGTCCATCAGTCGTTGGAGGACCTTGCCGACCTTGTCGCGGTGGTCTTGCAGGCTTCCAGAGGAGAAGATCAGGACATCGTCGATATATGCTGACACAAAATCGTCTAGGTAATCCTGGAGCGCGCTGTTAATGTACCGCTGAAAGGCTGCTGGTGCGCCTGTCAGGCCGAATGGAACTACCAGCCATTCGAAGGATCCATAGCGCGTTCTGAAAGTTGTCTTTTCCTCGTCGCCGGGGGCGACCCTGATCTTATGGAACGCTGCTATAACATCTACCTTGGTGAACCACCTTGCCTTGGCTATCGTTCGCAAGGTCTCGCTCAGTAAGGGCAAGGGATAGCGGTCCCTCTTCGTTATATGGTTCAAACCTCTGTAATCCACGCAGAAGCGGATGCCTCCGCCGGGCTTCTTCACCATAAGGACTGGTGCCGCGGCTGGCGAGCTGCTGACTCTAATAAATCCCTTGTCGAGTAGTTCTGTGAGAGTCTTCCGTAGTACCAATAGCTCCTCGCGGGACATGCTGTAAAGCGGTCCCCAGGGTAGGGCTTCTCTCGGCCATGCTCGTCTTTCAGCACTTCGATCTTCAGGTCCACACCTGGCCGATGAGGGGGCAGCTGGTCGGCCAGTTGCTGAGAGAAAGCTCGAGACCACTTGTGGTACTGTGGTGGCAGCTTCTCCATTACGTCAGTCTTCGGTTTCGGTCTTAGGGCCTTGTCAATATCCGCCATCGTGACCGAGTGAACTCCAATGCCGCCTTTGCGTTTGTCACGGCGTGCTTCTGCTAAAAAGGTTGCGGCCATGACATTAGAGACATCTAGCTGTGGAGGCTGGTAACGTCGTCGGTCTCGTACTTGAACTCCATTGGACCCGATCTCGAGATATCCTTCCTTCGCATGGATGTGAACATCCTGGTCTTCCATCCATCGTTTACCCAGGATCATATCCCAGTTCAGATCGTCGATGACGTACATGAAAACACGATGCTGCTGATGTCCATCGAGGTCGATCGACACATACGTGATCTTGTCGATTTTGACCTCCTTGCCGTCTCCGCTGCATTCTCCAAGATGCGCGGCTGGACGCGTATATGTGGCAACTGGAGAGAGTGAAATGTGCGCTTGCTAACCGCGCCGTAGCAGAGGCAGCCATAGTCGACAAGAGATGGCACGAAGTCTGTGCCGTTCACCCTGACGTCTGCTATGAACGGTTCTCCGTCCATTTTGCTTTTCCGCTCACATCCCATTCTCTCACAGCCGCCGCGTGTCCCTAGTCTGAATCTTCATCGTTATGAGAAGAAGTATCGTCTTCGGCGACCTCGGCTTTAGTGACCGCTGGTCGTGACGGGGTCACGGCATTGACCTGAGTGCGTCGGGTCGTGTTTGCGGGTCGGATAGGCGCAGCCAATGGACAGCGCTCGATTCTGCAGTTGTCTCTTCCACAACGGAGGCAACGCCCTTCACGGTAACGGGCGTCCATCTCGGCCTGGTCGACCCACTTGGCACGCTTGCCCAACAGCGCTTGGTCTTCTGGTCGCTTGGATTGGTAACCATATGTGTTCTTATCACTGCGGGTGCGCGCAGCGTTCACTTTCGCGGATGCTTGTAGAGTTGGTTCCCATTCCATCATATCCTCTCGTCTAACTTCGGTTTTCTGGCCAGGCTGTTTCTGGGCAGCCTGGCCTCCATGATTCTGGTGGTTGTCATAGTTGTCCGAACTCTTTGTGTTGCCTCGAGGCCTTTTCCACTGACCCAACAATTCCATCTGGCTGCTCAGCGAATCGCACCTCCTCGCCAGCCCAACATAGCTGCTGATGGCAGAGGGTCAGAGCCTATGAGGGCTGCTTTCATTTTATCGTTTAGTGCCTCCTGGAGGTAGGAAATCTTGCTGTCATCTGGCCAATACTCGGCGTTGGCATTGGCGATCTCCTCTCAAAGCGGGGTAAAGGACGTGAACGGTTCATTCTCTCCTTGCTTAATCGAATGCAGGTTGCGTGTAGCTCTCTGCTTGCGATCCCTCTCCCCGTACAGCAATTCGAGGCGGTTGAGTAGTTCAGCAACATTGAACGTTTTCTTCTCGGTTTGCATCTCCACAAATGTGGTCACGTTGTCTTTAGCCTTGCCTTCTAGGCTCATGAAGATGTACATAAAGTGGCCTTCTGCATCTCCAAGGGCTTCTTTGTCGACTCGTAGCTTTCCTTCGGTTTCTAGTTTCCAGCTTCGCCACTGGGCCTTGTCGCCGCCGAATTTCGGTATGTCTCGTAATTTGGGGCGCTTGGTTGGGTGAGGGTTGTGAGTGGCGACCACACGAGTGTCCTCAATGGGGACAGCCGGGGTGACAGATGGCGTTGGCTCTAGGAGTTCAGACGAACGGGCTTGCTGGTGTTGTTGGAGTTCCAGGGCAATAAAACGTTCTTCAAACTGGGTGTTTCTTCGGGAACTCTCTTCTCTCAGACTTCGTATCTCGGCAACCAGGGCGCTGAGGACGTCCGGCTGCATGTTGTTGTTATCTTCGGCCATCGCGACTTCGCTGAACGCTAATAGTTCGACGGGACTCAGTTTGGTGTCTTCAGTGTCTTCGGTGTCTTCGGTGTCTTCAGTGTCTTCGGTGTCTTCAGTGTCTTCAATGTCTTCAGTGATCTTGATAGTATGTGAAAGGCCTCTAGTGAGTTGATACAACTAACTAGTCCCTATGCTGTTTACTATCAAGATAGAGAAGAAAGAAAGAAAGAAAGAGAATCTACTACATGAGAGCACAATAGCATTTTATAGCTTCGAGCCAATGGAAGGTTCTAGAAGCTAGGCGGCGCAGCCGCCGTTAAAGCGGCTTGCCCGTTACATTGCTGTGATTGCATTGGATATATCGGAGCCAAAAGTGGACAGAATAACGTTGCGCCGACACCCCTGGAATGTGAATTTGGGGTTGGGCAGTATTTTCGAGCAGCCGCCGGCGAAACACACATACCGAAGTCCGGCCCTCGTCTCTAAGCGCACCTCGAATAATTCTCGTGCAAGATGCTGTACCTTGTCGTCTGTGACTTCCAGTGCCATCTGACATCCAAATTTTTCCGTGAACGGCGCATTGGGAAATGTCATTGATATGGCGGCAGCCAGAACGTTTCCGTCTATTGGGTCATGATTTCTCTTGATACCGTTCGAGAGGTCTCGTGGAAAGAGGCGCGTAGCATTGGCGAGGGACGCATTGACAAGCACATGTTCATTTTCGGCGAAGCAATAGGATAGGTCGACAGAAGAGCATAGCGACGTTTGATCTGGCACATGATCGAGAGACAGTTCCGGCACGTTTGGCGTCGTGGTCGGGCTGCGCAGATTGGCAGGGGAAGGTGGTGGACGATCATCACTGTCTATTATACCTGTTCCGTATTAGAAGGCTCACTGGGATATGGCCGACGACTCACTGCGTCTTTTCTTCGAGTCATGGACCATGCTTCCATTTTGAAGCGGTTTGATCCTTTTGTGATGCAGACTGTTGATTTTCTGAGCTACTTCGGTCCAATCGCGGCGGCAACTTGTGCCGCCAACAGTTTCGAGACGCGACAGACTCAGTCTCCAGATCACTGATCAAACGAGAACACTCAGCTTTCCCATGGAAATGATACCGGGTTTCTGCAGCGTTCTTGGTGAGAAAATATGCGAACCAGGCTGGGAATTTGCCTTCGTCTAGGAATATTCTTGCGGTTGAACACTCTCCAGCTTGTTGGGTTTCTCGCCACGACTTCATGAACCCTTTAGGCGCGCGCTCATAGTTGCTTAGCTGGTTGAAGAGCAGTGCGACTCGGCTTGTCTGAGGCCCGTTAACGCTGGAGGTCAACGAGTCGCCTTCCATGATCTGCTTGAAGATTTGATATTTGGAAGGCAGATTTGGAAGGCAAGTTCATGAAGAGAGGGAAGGTGACGAAGGTCAAATTTTCTTACCAAGGCGGGGTCTGGGGGTAAGGAGGGTTAAGGAAAGCCGAGAATCTAAATCCCCTTGCCCCGTGCCAAGACGCCTTAGTTACCGTAAACGTGCGCAGACTGTCAGTCTTACGTCAGGGATACGCACCTAATCCTATGTGGTAAGGTTATTGGTAGCGAAGATGCGTGTAGCTCCGAAGAAGGTTAGGGCTGAACGGTGCGTTGGATCTAAACCTGCCGGGATTTCGATCAAGACTTGTTGTTCCGAAGGTTTAGGAGGTAGGTTAAGGAAGGAAGGAACCCATATATTTCGAATGATTGGCCTACGTCGCTGGGTCGGGCAGGCCTCGACCACGTACCCGTGCCACGCCCCACTTTAGTGGGTGAGCCAAGCGAATCCTTAAAGTGGGGGCGGGCACGAGTAGGAGGGATTAGTGAGGCTGTACTTGGATTTCTCTGCAAGGCGGAGATCCTGCAATCGTTGGTGGTGGGCAGCCTAGCCAAACCTTCCAAGCTCTTCATTCCTGGCGCTCGTGCGGCTGATGCGAAGAGCCTGCAGATAGTGGACCCCCCCATATTGAGGGGGAAAAAGGCATGGGGTCACCACCTGCTCAAAATGGTATGTCATGCCTCACCATCTAGTGGCATCGTCTGACGCCGAAGGAGGTCCGGTCTTGAGCCATGATGGCCACTTGGTTTGGTTGGTTGCAGTAGTTCGGCGGCAACTGTACGGTGCGTCAAGTCGCATTAATCCTGCCTTGCCTGTACGCCACAGGGGACACGGCCAACGGCATATAGGTGCATAGAGAATGCTAGCAGCTCCGGAGCTGTAGTTTGACATATAAAGAAGGCATTGAAAGGTGCATGTGTAGACAAAGTCATCACCATTTCAACCTTTCTGCCGCTCAAAAAAGCGCTATCAACCTGCCTGCAATAAAACGATGGTATCACATATTATCACCCAAGGCTCGATTAGGTGCGGTCACCTCAACGAGGTTAATCAGAAGCAATGCACCCATGAACAGCCATGCCAGCTTGGAGTTCAACCGTTTCAGATCATCACCGAAACTTGCGAGAGGTGTATGCAGGACAAAATATTCCGCAGCAAGTTCCACAACCTTAGAGATAAAGCATCTCTATTCCGTTACTGGGAGTGTCGAAAGCTCAGTGAGAATAGAAATTTGTGGGGGCCTTTCAGGTTGGGTGTGGGAGTAAACATCCCGGCTTTTGAGAGCATCATGGCCAAAATAGAAATAAGCATGCGCGAAACATGGCAGGAAGAAACCACAAGAATCGTCAAACTAGCGAGTTGCGGTGCGAGCGCGGTTTTATGGAGGGTCAAGGATCGTGTTCTGTTGATAAGTTAGACAGTGATGAGGGTAGAGTACTTTTAGCAAGGGCCCTGGAGATGATTCTTGAGGAGACGAACAAGCCGGAGGAATCGCCAAGTAACTAGTTATCGTTTTCTTCTCAGTGATCTACCTTGTGTTCCTTCCCTTCCCGTTTGACAACCCACGGCCCCGACGAGGCCGAGATCAGGGACGACCAGGGGTGAGCCAGGTTCTTGGCTCTGCGAGCCAGCACGAAGCTCATCTTCCAGAATTTTCACAGCTGAGAGTCACGTTTCCTGCAGCCGCACTGTTGTCTCACAAATCCAAATGTGGAATGGATCAGGGACACCTGTTGCTCGTGTCCTTGACCTTCATTGTTTAATCCATCTCCACCAGAAACCTTCTGGTGTCGTCACGGCCACCTTCAATTTTACTGCAGACCCGGGCTAGTTGCCTTCTACACAGCTCCATGGCGTTCCGACCTCCCTAGTCAAGACGAGCGTAGACGTATGCAAGCCATAGTGCATGAACCAGGTTGTATGCCCTGCTGGTGATGCCGATTTACTGGATGACCTCATAACCGGGGGCCAACCGCATTGACCTGTTGAAGACGTGCCATTCCGCCCACCCGACTCTGACCATGCCGCTTCAAGGTGGAGGAAGCTCACCCGCCTCATATATGTAGATAATCATATCAACTATAACCCAGTCTCAAGGCAATTATGGTGT